TTCTAACTCTACTTTTCAAGTAAACGAGGGGCACATTTTTAATTGGTCAAAAGCGGTTTACACGATACAATCCCAGGCCAGTCTACGCAATCGTCACGTCCACCAAGTTCAATAGGGCGCCTTCCTTGCGCATATACAAGACTGGATATGGGTTGCACCTGGCCTCCGGCGATGCTGGCTGGGGTTGATGGGAGTTGAAGTCCCCAATGTCTGCAAGGCTGCGTTAAGCTCCGGTGGGCATTTCTCCAGGCCCGCCAGCGGCTTCCTTCCCTCACCGGCCTCCTCTCCATTTTCCCCGCCGCCAACCTCCTGCCACTTGCAACGTGCGAAGCGGACACAATGGCAAGGCGGACCCGAACCACAGTTGAGCGTAGCCCGGCGCCCTTCCCTCCGTGCATCTACCCAAACTAACGCCCGCCCGCCGGTGAGATCCCATAATCCCCGGTCACCGGCCCTGCTGGCTGGGGCTCATGGGCGCTGTAGTCTGGAAGGCCCTAGGCAGGGACGGGCGGGCCATGGGCGGATTTAACCAGGACATGCGACTCTTACCCAGCACGCGCGGCCGCCCGGTCTAGTCTAATCCAGCCCAGCCTAGCTAGCCCAGCCCAGCCCAGCCCAGCCCAGCCCAATTCTCCTCATTCTTTGGATATTGCTTAATAGCGTAACCAGCGCAAGGAGATCTCTTTGCCCGCGCCGGGGCCCAGGCGGTGCCGCCGCCGCCGCCTCCTTGGACCCGGGCAGGGCGAAGCCGCGTGCACACAAGCGTCTCGTCTGCACACTCACCCGAGGAAGCCGGCCCGGCCCCGGGCCCCGGGCGCCCCCTGCAGTTCCGTCCCCGGACCGAGGCGCGCACGGGCAAGGCGGGCCGCCCCCGCCGCGATTCCCGAGCCAAGAGCCCGGGGCCGCGCGATCCCCGGCAGCGCAGAAAGGAGCGGCGGGAGACACGCGAGCGCTGCCGCTCTCACGCACAAAAGACACGCGCAGCCGCGGCGCCTCCACGCCAAGCGGAGAGGCGCGCCCGGGCACGCACCGCTCTCCTCCGGCCAAGCGGCGCGTCCACTCTGGGAATCGGAGCTCTGTCGGCTTAACCCTTCCCAGAGCGCCTCCCAGTCCAAGAACAGCAGGAGGAGGAGGACGACACTGAGGACTAGCCGGCTGCTGTTTGTCTCCCGATCTGGGGCTGCTTTTCCCGATGGGCCTTGGAGCCGCTGCGCCCCAGAGGGAGAAACGCAGCCCCTTTGCCGGAGCTGGACAGGCGCAGCGGGTCCTCAGCGTGGCGCCCGCGCAGCTCTCCGCTCCCAGTCCCAGTTAAAGAAAAGTTTTTCTTGTTTAACGTAACATCTTGACAAATATAAGCCCTCTTCCTCTCCTTTTGTGGTCGCTCGCCCGGATCTTTCTCTCCTGTCTGCGTCTCTGCCCTGCAGTTTTCCTCTCCCTTCTCCATCCCTGCCAGTCGTTTTTCCTTTTCTGGTCTCTACGCCGGGCTCTTTCGCTCCCCCTTACCCCGCTTTCTGCCTGGCTCCTTCCCTTTCCATCTTGTGGCACTTTGAACGCGAATAAACTTGTGCTTACTTTTCTATAGACCGTGTAACCCGCGTTCATCGGATCCTTGGAGTATAGTGAAGAGCCGTGCCTTTCCGTTTATTTATTTAAAACTTTTATATCCCGTCCAACACCAAGGATCCCAGGTTTAAAGAGATGGATTGTTTTAATACTGCGGCATTGCTCTGTTTTAGGAGACTTTTAGCAAGATTTCATCTGTTAATCCCTCTGGGTCTCATTTTAAAATGAAAAACAGGATGGACTTTTTCTGAAATACAAGAACGGGGAAGAATTGGGAAGAGTATCCGGGAAAGCTGCTCCGCATTTAATAGATGCATAAAGCACAATGCAAGAACAGCTGATTTTTCCCCCCAGTGACAGGGTGGGTAAGCCAAAACACAACTGGCAGAGCAACAAAATGAATATGTCCAGGGACTCAGGATGGGAGCTTTGCAATGATGGTAGGGAGGTTGCCAAATTTTTTCCTGGCAGGGCTGCTGCGCCTTCTGCAGAGGGAGGGCTCCAAAGCAGGGGCAAGAGGGCAGGAGCTGGGAGCAGAATTGTGTTGGATTTCTTGTGGGGTCATCTTTTCTTCCCAACATGGCCATGCTAATCCAAAGACAGCTGTGCTAGGTAGTTATTCCAGGTTGCCTTAAGAACTGTGCCTTACCCTTATTCTTTGATTGTAACCATGCTGTCCTACACAGGTCTACTCAGAAGTAAATCTTGCTCATCCCACTTTTAAGTAAACCACTCAGAGAGCTTCGGCTATGGGCGGTATAGAAATGAAATGAATAATAATAATAATAATAATAAATCCCACTGGGTCAGTCCCACTGCTCGGCTCCATGCCACAAACATTTTAATACAGCAGGGTTCCTGCAATTTATAATCAATATTTTTTTTTAAAGGAGAAAAGTAAAACGATCAGCCCAGGACAAAGAAAGGGGCAGAATCCTGAAGTTACAGGGTGAATCCTGAAGCCAAGAAACACCTAGTCATGTAGAACAGAAATTCAAGAGTTGGGAAATCAACCCCAAAGATCTCTTTGCTTGCTCTAATCCTCCACACCAGCTATCTACCATGTTTATGTAACGATCCTAATTATTCCACACCCATTAGCCATGGTGGATGGGGCTTCTGGGGGGTGGGGGAAGGCTATACAAGCCTTGAGAAACCACTGTGGGGGGGGGGCGGAGTGGGAAAAAAGCAGGGGTGTGAGGGACCTGGTTTCTGGGAACGGGGAGAAGAGACACTTGTGCCTGACTCTTCCCATATTATTGTAGGGATGGCAGAATTCCCCAGTGAGTTTCCGGCCTTCCATGGTAGAATCATGGCAGGGAGGGCCTATCCCAGCGGCAGCAAATCCAGCCCTCCGGGGGCCAAACCTGCCCCTCCTTGGTTCTCGGGAAGGCTGTGCCCCCTTTCTGACCCCCTTTTCCCCAGTCATTTGGTGGCATCTCAATTCACCTGCTTCTCCTCCTAAGTTTTAGGTCTCGGCAGGTAAACAGCTTTAAGCAAAAGCACGCAGGTCCTTTTGACCTTTCTCGTCTTCCATTCCTGTCCTACCTTTGCTGTTCGTTCTAGTGTTGTAAACCACCCAGAGCGCTTTGGCTATGCAATGATATAAAAATGAGAATGCCTTCTCTGATCCTGAAAAGTTCGTGTTTTTGTCATCAAGCATTGTGTCTTGCCGAGTCTCTTTTTGCTCTTGCCGCTAAAAAGTTAAGAACTAGGACACTCTCCTGAATCACACCCGGTCTGTCTTTTAGTATTATGTTTTAATATGTTTATTGTTTTGTTAATTCAGTGTTTTACCTTGTTAATTTGTGATGGCCTATGGCTTATGTTCTATTGTATTTCAATGTATTTTATTGTGTTGTAAGCCGCCCCGAGGCTTCGGCAAGGGGCAGCATAGAAATGTAGTAGTAGTAGTAGTAGTAGTAATAATAATAATAATAATAATAATAATAATAATAATAATAATAATAAATGCAATAAACTGATTGGCTAACTGATATAAAAAATGAAATCATTAACGAATTTGTAATATAATTCTTGCTTGTTTATAATAATGTAGACTATAGCATTATAATCATATTATATTATAGATGGATAGTTATTTCTTGCAAAGAACCCAAGGCAGCTTATATCAATATTCCTCCTCTCTACTTTTATCTTCACTACAACCATACAAGGTAGGTTAAGCAGAGCCTGTGACAGGCCCGAATAACTGGGTAAATTTTGTAGCCAAGTGGAGACTAGAATTCTCATCACAGCACCACGCAGAAATTTCCCTCAGAGCTTCTCTAAAAGGGAACTTGACCCATGGGCTGGAAGAAGTCCAGCCCCCTGAGATACGTTACCATAAAGGTTCTCCTGCTAAATTTGTCAAAAAGCATTTCAGAGATGCAAGCTTCCTGCACTGACCAGGATCCCAGTGTGATGACTGCCAAGTTCCTTTCCGACCCTTAGATTCCATCATTCCTTATAGCTCCGATAACTGGAAATGATACCCAGTCAGTCCCAGGAGCAGAATTTCCCAGTATCCTCAGCATCTCGGTTCCACCATTAATGAACGCAGCAGGCACAGGAAATCCTCACACAGACAAGATCCTGATTAGGCACTTCTCATTTTTAATTCATTTCTATGATATACAGTGTCTTCTTATTTAAGGATTAGGAGAGCAAACGGGCTGGTGCCAGCCCCTAGAGCCAGAAATTAAGAGAGAAATTCCACTCCACACAAGCAGGATGGCACAAGGACACAATGAAAGGTAGAACTGAACAAAGAAAAAAACCCTAATGCCTTTTTCCTCCCCTTCCTGTCGAAATATACTACCTACTACGAGCCAATGCACATGCATAAAGCCGAAGGACTCGCTTGCCCCCGGTTAAAGGAGTCTTCATTCACCAAAGTGCATAGCTTCAGGACGTGGACCCCCAAATGGCTGGCGTCGCAGATGGACCCCACAACCCCGCCAGCCCTTTGGTCGCCAAGCCGAGAGTTGCTGATGGGGGTGCGACGCGGAACCTCTTGTCTCACGGAAACGGGGCAGCGGCGTGTGGGGACTTCGGAGGCCGAATCTGCAGGGTCCAATCACAGGTGGAAGAAAGAACGTTTTTCTGCCGCTGCCGCCGCCCTGCTCAGAGCTGGGAGCATGATGCGGCGTGATCAGCGCGCTCGTGTGCACAAGCGCATGCCCCCAGAGGCCTCCTGTGGCGTGACAAGCTCACACTGCAGCTGGTTACCCTGAGGTGTGGAACATGCGGCCTGCAGAGGTCGGTGGACTACACGTGCCATCATACCCAAGCACTACATCTCCCATCATCTACTGGCCCTCCAGGCTGAAAGGAGCTACAATGCCAGATTATTTGTAAGGCCACATGTTCCACACTCTTTGAGTAAACGGCTCGCCTGTGGCCAACCTCCCCCCCCCCCGTCAAGGATTTTGGGAATGCTCCAGGACATCCGTGGATGATGGTGGTGGTGGTGGTGGCTGCTGCTGCTCCTCCAGTCGGAGCAAGTTTAGCGCTTCCCTGGCGTGGATCTTTTGATGCTTAACCAGGACCGTGCGGTGGGTGAACCTCTTCCCGCAGGTGGCGCACTGGTGCGGCCGCTCCCCCGTGTGGACCTTCTGGTGCCGGATGTGGACGGCCCGGTCGGAGAAGCATTTCCCGCAGGTGGCGCACTTGAAGGGCTTCTCGCCCGTGTGCGTCCTCTGGTGCACCATGAGGATCTGCCACTGGCTGAAGCTCTTGCCGCACTCGGAGCAGGTGTACGGCCGCTCGCCCGTGTGCACCCGGTGGTGCTTGACCAGCTGGGAGGACGTGTTGAAGGACTTCTCGCAGTCGGGGCACTTGAAGGGCTTCTCGCCCGTGTGGGAGCCCTCGTGCTTCTTGAGGCTGGAGCTGCGGCTGAAGCCCTCCCCGCACTGGGCGCACTTGAAGGGCTTCTCCCGCACGTGGACCTTCTGGTGGTTGAGCAGCTGCGACTTCTGGGTGAAGTTCTTGTCGCACTCGGAGCAGCGGAAGAGCTCCTTCTCCACGTGGACCCGGTAGTGCCGGGTGAGGACCGAGCTGACGGTGAAGCTCTTCCCGCACTTGTCGCAGGTGTAGGGCCGCTCCCCCGTGTGCGTCCTCTCGTGCGCCACCAGCGTGGACTTGAAGCTGAAGCACTTCCCGCAGCTCTGGCACATGAAGGGCTTCTCCCCCGTGTGGGTCCTCTGATGGGCGGCCAGCACCGTGCTGCGGCTGAAGGTCTTCCCGCACACGCCGCAGGTCTTCTTGCCCCGGCTCCTACGCCTCCTCTTGACGACGACAGCCTGGCTCGTTTCCTCGCCCTCCCCGGCCGGAGGAAGGTGGCCGGCCACCCTTTGCTCCGGGCAGTCCTCCCTCCCCGAGCCGTCCTCGCAACTCGCCGAGGGCTCTCCGTCCTCTCGGGGCCAGCGGAGCCTTCCCCAGGAGCCTTCTGTCAGCGGAGGGTCCCCTTGCCTGGTTTCCAGCATCCACTCATCCCCTGTTGGGGGAAAAAAGACAGTCAAGGGGCCAAAAAGCCACAGGAAAGCTGTAAGGACAGCCCTGCTCCATCAGGGGAAAGTCCCTTCAGAAACGGCTGAAATCCTCTCAGGGTGCCGAAAGTCAGCCCGATGGGGGGCTTGTCCAAGGGACCCTCGTCCGGTCCACCAGGGCTTGAGTGGCCCAAGCCCTTTTCCCCCCACACACTTATCCTTGGTTGCGCCCCAGCTTTTCTCCTCCCCCACTCCGAAACCTTGAAATACCCCTTTTACTATAGGGCATGAACCCACCTCTCTAACCAGTCAGTCCTAGAGGAGATCAACCCTGACTGCTCCTAAGAAGGCCAGCAAACAAAGATGAAACTCAAATACTTTGGCCACCTAATGAGAAGGAAGGACTCCCTGGAGAAGAGCCTGCTGCTGGGGAAAATGGCTGGCAACAGGAGAAGGGGGCGGCAGAGGATGGGGTGTCTGGATGGGGTCGCTGGGGCAGTGGGGGTGGGCTTGGGTGGACTCTGGGGGATGGTGGAGGACAGGAAGGCCTGGAGGAATGTTGTCCATGGGGTCATGATGGGTCAGGCACAACTTTGCAACTCAACAACAACAAATGAACCCATCCAGGTTAGACAGGAAAAAGCCCCACAACTGCGTATTCTCCAGCTAGACATAGAAACATGGAAAAAAGTGAGTCAGAAGGAGTCTCCTGGGCCATCTAGTCTGACCTCAGGCTCCAGCCGGCTCCGCTCATGTAACCCCCAACGTGTGGTTGTCCAATCTTTTCTTGCACCGATGGCCCCCCCCCCCCCACACCTCCCTTGGGAGCCCATTCCATCTCCTAGGGGTCCTAACCATCAGGAAGTACTTCCTGACATCCACCCTGAAGCCCGGTTCCTTGAGCTTTGCCCCACTGGGATGTGTCCTGCCCTCCACCATGGGGAGAACAGGTCACGGCCCTCCTCCACACGACATCCCCTCACATACCTACAGGTTGCTAAAAGATCCCCTCTGAGTCTCCCCTTCTCCAGGCTGAAAAGACCCAGTTCCCTCAATCCCTCCGGCTACCAGTCTTGTGACCCTGCGCAGAACCGAGTCTGACCTAGCTAAGTCTCTCCTATAATGTGGAGCCCAGAACCGGATGCAGGACTCCAGTTGTGGGCGCACCAGAGTTGTGCAGAGCGGTATCAACACCTCCCTAGATCTGGAAGCCACACTTCTGGCTATGCATCCCAGGGTCGCTTCCGTTTCCTTAACGGCTGCTCCACACTGCCGGCTCACACTCAGCCTGCAGTCAACAAGCACCCCAAGGTCTGTTTCACAAGTGCAGACAGAAAGAAGGTCCTACAGCTCCCAGCATCCCCCAGCCAGCCATGAATGGGAGGATGCTAGGAATTACAGGACATTTGTCTGTGTCAAAATGTACTGGATTGCACCCTGAGATGAATTCATGTGGGTTATTTTTGCTGTTGCGGCTTGCCCTGCCCACCATGGGACTAGGATCCCTGTAACCCAAGCACCCATTTCCTACACTAGAAGCCCCTCAGCTGGTCTACAAACTCTGACCGGCCATGGCCAGGCCGGGTTCTTGGCCAGCATCTCTGGGTGCAACCAAATGAGGCTGCCATCCTACTTCAAGTAAGTCACAACCCTCTTGGGTTTTCCCACCGCTGCTTTGTCTTTCTTTGGACAACGGGCAACCCGTGCGGCGAGAGAAGACAGGAGAACCGCGCCAGGTTGATTCATTGGCAGTGTCACGATAGTCCCGTCTGCTCGCCTTCCAAGCTCTGTCTTTTGACTGCAGGCTACCAGAGGCCTGGGAGCAGGCGGGGAGAGAATCCCCCTTATTACATCCAAGCACCATCCTTTACTGCTCAGGTCAAGTGCTAAGAGGAGCATTTCTGGCTTCGCCTAGTTGCAAGGTTGATCTCGGAAGCACCAAAAAGCAAAGCTCTTTTAAATGCAGAACTGGGGAGTGCTTTTTGGGGGGGGGGCACCGGGCAGAATTTATTCCAGATGAGCACAGCGGGGGCAAGTCCACCCCACTAATGGTATATGAACATATGATGCTACTGCCAACACACCCACACAAATATTCATGCATCTGCACACACGGCCATGCGCTTCCCCAATGCATGAGGATTCATAAGCCAGACATAACTTGGTTTAAAGCTGGCTTATGAATCCTGGCTTGTTTGGGCACAAAGAGCTATCAAGAGTCATTGGATAAAACGCCAAGCTATCCCAGCCACTCATACAAGTGGGAGGAGTAAAGCTTATTTATTAAATTTATAGCTCACTCTTTTTTCTTACAAAGAACTCAAAGCGGCTTACATCATTTGCCTCCTCCTGCTCACAGTCTTAGCCCCACAACAACAACCCTGTGAGGTAGGTTGGGCTGAGAGTCTGTGACTGGCCCAAAGTCACTCCGTTGGCTCCATGGCTGAGCGGGGACTAGAACCCAGATTGCCTGAGTCCCAGTCTGGTGCTCTTAACCACTACACCACACTCTCTCCTTAAGAGCAAAAAAGCACAGATCAGAGCTGTGAGAGAGTTGCTTACCAAGTCCAGCTGCCTGGCTTAGCCTGTTCGATGTGACCAAAGACAAAGCCACACCCATAAAAACCAGGAGAGATCCCCAAAACGAAGTGCACAGGGAACCCTTACCCTCCGATTCGATATCACCATCACATTCCTGTTTAACCTCAGAGCAAAGCTCTTTCTCTTCCACAACCGACGGAGGCTGCTCGGCTGTGGGGAAACTCAAGGCCACTTCTGGGAGCAGTCCTGGCCCCTGAAAAACAACAAGGTTTGGCTGTGAATGCCCGCTAGTCCTCATGAACATACACTACCTCCAGGGATCAGAGGACATGTAAGCATGTACACCAGTTACCAGGGAAAGGGGGTGAGTGGGTGGCCACCCTGGGAAGAGAAGGACTGGTCCTCAGTGTGACCCCACATGCTGCTGCTTCCTTAAATCTTCCATGTAGCCTGAAGTGCCTGATCCTGCCTAATCTTGGAAGCTAAGCAGGGTCAGGCCTGGGCAGAAGTGGGATGGGTGACCTGAGTGTATGGTTCTATGATTATTGCTGTCAACTGCCTAGAGAGCTTTGGCTATGGGCAGTATAAAAATGTAATAATAATAATAATAATAATCTTCTCCTGCCTTATCACCATTTAAATTATCTCCTGGCTGCTTGATTTCTCCTCCTTCCCTAACACTAGAACCTGGGGTCAGTCTGGGAAGCTAATGGGTAGGGGTGTATTTTATTTATCTATTTAATTGAGTAATATATGCATTTATATGCTGCCCTTATATTTATACAGAAAAATTTCTTATCTCATATTTCTATCCCACCTTTCAATGAACTTCAGGTGGCGTGCCTCAAGCTCCTCCCTCTCACCATCTCATGCTCATAACAACAGCCCTGCGAGGTAGGCCGGGTTCACAGCCTGTGCCTGACCCAATGTTGGTCAAATAAAAGGATGGGGCAGAACTAAGTTACAGGATTCCCTTCCATGAGATGGAGTGACGGCCACCTATTGGGATGAACTCGACAGGACTCATTCCCTATCAGTCGCTACTAGTCCTTACTGACTATGTTCTATCAGAGGCACAATGCCCATGTGCACTGGGGATCATGGGTGGGAGGGTGCTGTTCTCTTCCCACCTACTTGTGGGCTTCCCATGGGCAGCTTGTTGGCCACTGTATGAATAAACTGCTGGACTAGATGCATGCTTGGTTGGACCCAGTATGGCTCCTCTCATGTATTTACATAAGGAAAAGCTGCTAGTCCTCATGGCTATAGACTACCTCTTCTATCAGAGGCAGTACGGAGCTGTGCACCAGTTGCTGGGGAACATGGGCAAGCGGGTGCCGTTGTCCTCCTGTCCTGCTTGTGGCTTTTTCACGGGCAGCAGGTTGGCCGCTGTAGGAACCAAATGCTGGACTGGACGGCTCCTCGGCCTGATCCAGCTTTCGAAAAGCCTTTTTCCCAGCCCTGCTCCTGGAGACGGCAGGAACGGAACGAGGATTTGTGTGTGAGCTGCTCCACTGAGTTCCTGACTAAGAAATGTGAATGGGAGATCCCACTGTTCAGGCTGAGGACTTCTAGAGCAGCTAGCAATCAGCATGCAGGAGCAGCACTTAACAACCACATCGATAAATGAAAAGCTAAAACACAATCACGGACTCTTCGCCCGGAGGAACGTCCATCGGATGCCGTCATCCATCCAGGCTCCTTGCAAGTGAAAAAACAGGCTGCAAAGGAGAAACAAGGCCAACTAGGGAAGAGCGAATTAAAAGGAACGCTTTCCAAATGTTACTTTCCCCCCACCCCCGGTTGGGCTCAGGAAATCTCCCTCACCTCTGTCCCTTGCTGTCTGGGGAGGAAGTCCTCTGCCAGGGCCACCGCCTGGTCGCAGGTCCGAGGGCAGCCGGTCTTCACCCAGCTCTGGATCTCTGCTGGAAGGATGGCCAGGAACTGCTCCAGGATGACCAGCTCCAGGATCTGCTCCTTGGTGTGCCGCTCGGGCTTCAGCCACCGGTGGCAGAGGTACCAGAGGCGGCTGCAGGCCTCGCGGGGCCCCTCGGCCTCCTGGTAGCGGAACTGCCGGAAGAGCGTCCGCTGCACGTCCACGGCGGCCGAGTCCTCCCGCAGGATCTCCTCCACCCCGGGGGCCTCCGCCCTCCTGCAGCTGCCCGTGCTCTCCACGCTGAGGTCGGGCAGGCCCTTGAACCTCCGGTACGCTTGGGCCGCCCCCTCCAACGAGGCCAGGCACGCCTTGGCATTCTCCCAGGGCTCCGATTCCAGCTGCTCCAGCTTCCCCCATCCAGAGTTTCGGGACTGCGCCGCCTTCAAAGCGGCACGTGGATCCAGGTATTTCAACCGCCTGTCCCCGGGTTCACTTGTCCAGTGCTCAGGGCCTTCCTTTTTCCTGAACTCCTGGTGATTCCCGGCCTCGGATTCTGGGAATGCTCCCCTTGCTGCCCCCCCCCCAGGGCCACTCCGGGTTCCAGGCCCATTTGGCCTTCCTCCTTCAGCCGTCCTCCTTCTTGCAGGTTTGGTTCCAACATTGCCCGGTCCTGAAAATCTGTGTTTGGACTCTTCCCCTTCTCTGGCACCATTTTGTGCTTCATGACAGCCCTCTCTCAGTCCCCAGAGATGCTCTCGCTTGGACTGAACTTGGAAAGGGCACACGGCACACACGGAGGCCAACACAAATCCTCGGGCTGAATTATCTGCCCATTCTCAGGGTAGTCCAACAAGATTGGCGGGATGCTTTTGGGACACTGGAGAACCCCGGAACCAAGTTCATTCACAAGAGGAGTTGGCGGTGAGAAGGGCTTTTCCTGAGAGACAGACACACAAAGAAAGAAAATTCCAAAATTCCAATCTGCCAAGACCAAAAATGAAAATTCAGCTTCCGCTAGGGGCCAGGGATGGGGACAACAGGAAAAACGGGGTGGGGAGACCCTCATTTTCCTCCAACAAAAATGACCTAAGAAAAGCAAGGATCTTCCCCAAGTTTTTCAGCCGCCCGAACACCCATTCATTTTGGTGGGTCTTCACATCTCTATGAAGGCATTGCTCTTCCAAGGGAGCCACCAGACAATTCTGATAGCTTGAAAGCCCATTTGAGGAGCTGTATGCACAGCATTTGGACACACCACTTCCACACTCGAACTATTTGGACCGCTGGGCCCCTTTGGAAATTCGAGGAGCTGCTTTGGGTACCACGACCTAATCAGCGGAGTACCTCTCTGGCACCCGTGTGTTACATCTATACATCTTGGGCTGGTCTTATTCAGCAAAAAATTTTGTTTTATGTCTATTGGCCATGGCAATGTCTCTCTAATAAAGGATAGTTTAATTTAGCTAATTGCTAGAGGTGCAATGCAGATAATGCTTTTTTTAAATGTATGGTCTGGCAAAACCCAGCAGTAGCTTCTTTTCACGGGGAGCTTATGATTCAGATAAATTTTGAACCAGAACAGCCTTTAACATTCTCTGATGTACACATTCTTTTAAATGAGTTTTTTTCCCCCTATGAAATTAGCAAATGGAAGGGAAACAGATTCTTAGCTAAAAGGCTGATGTTATGTTTGGGAAAGTCAAAGGTAGAAGAAACGGAAGACCAAATGAGTGATGTGTTGACTCCATAAAGGAAGCCACAATATCGAATTTAGAAGAGCCGAGCAGAGCTGTCAGGGATAAGACTTTTAGAGGGTTTTTGTTCATGGAAGCATTGTAAGTTGGGGACAACTTGGTGGCCCATCATGATGCTGTGGCTGATACTTTGGCGAGCCTGGATCATTGGGTCCAGCATGACCTTATGCAGACCCTTTTAAAAAATAAATAAATCCAGAAGCCATGTTTTGACCCTAGGCAGCCTCTGGTGGCCCACTGTGGTGGTGGCGGTGGGATGCCAGGAGTATATCGGAAGCGGCCCAATACAGAATCACACTCTGGGCCTATCGATTCCAATATTCTGCACTTGGACTGGCAACAGGAACGCGTGCTTTCAGGCCAGACTCTTTCCTCGCCCTCCCCCAGAGATGCCTGGAATTAAATCTGTGTCGTACCTGCATGCAAAGCAGGGCTCCACCAGTGAGCTTTTGTCCTTCACCTAAAATTTAAAAATAAGTTTCCAGCCCTCATGGTTCTGAATAAAGGGCTGAGGCAGAACCTTGCAATATCCTGAGCAGACAATCTGTAGTCCATCTTGGCCACTGTTGCTGACACTGGCTGGCAGCTGTTTTCCAGGGATTTCTACCCAACCTGAGAAAGCCAGGGATTGAACTGGGACTTGCATATACAATGCAAAGGCTTAGCCACCAGGGCCGGATCAGAATGACTTCTGGGCTGAGCCAGCAAATCTTTCCTTGCCTTCCTTCCTCCTAAAATTACAGGAAGAGACTTGATCTCATGCGAAGGCTGCATGCTGTGCTGGCACAAGTTCCTAAATTCATACTCTGCCATCTCCAGATTAGTTCTGGTGCTGTTGTTTTAAAGGGCCAGGCAACAGTGCTGGCAATTGATCACCACTTCACAGTCACCCTGGAGAGGAAGCAAATGGTATTCATGGAATGAAAATGCCTGAAGGGTATCTCAGAGGTCATCCAATCCAACCCCTCTGCTACAATAATTAGTCCTCTCACATTTCTTTCTCTCAGTCTCTCAAACATATCCCTGTGTGTCAATACATTGTTGTTATGTGGCATCAAATTGGCTCTGAGTTAAGAACCCAGTGAGTGAAACCCTTCCAAAATGCTCTGTCCTTCACAGCCTTGCTCAGCTCTTGTAAATTCAAGGATTTGGCTTCCTTTATGGAATCAATCCACCTCTTATCTAGCCTTATTAGATTTCTATCCCACCTTTTTTTTTAAAGAACTCAGAGCAGCTTAATTCTCCTCCTCTCATAATTCTCATAATTCTTCTGCTGCTCTCCATTTTATCCCAACAACAACCCTTGAGGTAGGCTGGACTGAGAGTCTGTGACTGGCCCAAAGTCTCCCAGTTGGCTCCATGGCTGAGCGGGGACTAGAACCCGGATCGTCTGAGTCCCAGTCCCATGCTCTTAACCACTGCACCCCCCTGGCACTTTTACTTTGCTGCCTTTGACTTTCCCTAGCAAGATTCCTCTCGAGAAAGTCTTGCCTTCTCATGATAAACTTGAAGAAAGATAGGTTAAGTTTTGTCAATTTTGCTTCTTGGAAAAGTTCTGCTTTGAGCTGATCAAGACTGCCCCGCCCCGCTGTGATGTACAAGCTATATACATAAATAAAGATATATGTAGATGAAGCATTCCTGTCCAGCATGTATTTAAACACCTCTAAGAGAGTCCAGCACCTTTGGAAGAAAGCCTTTTTCACTGCAAAGCAGATCTTACCACCAAGACGTCCCTCCTGACCATAGAATCGGATGCTGCTATAGAATTCTGGCTAATCTGATGTTCTGCTAATCTAACAGAACAGAATCTTCTGTTTCACCAGAATTGGCTCCTGTGTCACTTGGTCCTGGCCTGGCTGTGCGGAAAAGCATAGGGCAAAATTTGGGGTGGGGTCCCAGTGGTCTTTCAGAGGCCGCTGTCCCCTCAAATGAGGCCTGGCCTCACTGGGAACGGGTGGCAACCGAGTGTAACACAAAATCCAGAAGACCTCTAACATACCCCACTCCTGGATAGGACAAACCACACGTCTGCCCTGGAATAAGAGTTCTTCTGATGCACCTATTAAACATGTGCTGTTAATGTTATTACACTACATTTCCATGCACCCCCTAACCAAAGCTCTTTGGGCCATTCACAACATTCAGGTCACCCATCCAGATTTCAACCAGGCCTGACCCTGCTTAGCTTTCCAAGTTAGTCAGGATCAGGCACTGCAGGCGATATGAAAGCACTGCCCTGCCCACGAAGCTCCCTTCACCCGAGAGCACCGATTTACGACGGCTGGCGCTCCCAAGCTATTTTTCACGGCAGGGCATTTAAGCAGGGATGTGTGGAGCGCGGGCAGCCCTGCGCCAGCTGAGCAGGTGCTTTGCCCTCTGCCGGCCATTCCCCAGCCCGGATGCTCGGGGCTTCGGCCCCCAGGCCCTCTCAGGCTGGAGCGGACGGGCGCTCACATCTCCTCGCAGCGATGCTTTGAGCTGCAGAAAAACCCGGCGCACCGTCCCGCCCGCTCCCCAGGGCACGAGCGGCTCCCGGAATTTCTCTAACGCAAAACCGCGCAGATGGACACGCCTCTCCCCAACCGCAAAAAAAAGACTTCGCTTCCACCGCGCATCTTTTAGATGCGTCCCGTCACGCATCCGAAGACACCCGAAACGCCCGGGCGGCACCGGAGGGCTCAGGACCCCGAGCGGCGGCGGCGGCGGCCCGCCCCAGAGGCGCTTGCCACGAAGGTGCCCCGGACGCGTGCACGGCGCTGCGCGCCCCGGCGCAACCTCCCGGGCCGCGCAGCGCAAGGGCGCGCTTACCCGGGCATGTGCCGCAGCGCGGGCGGCCAGCGATCCCGAGGCCGAGTGCCTCCCTCGCCCACAAAAAGGAGGAAGAGGAAATGGTGACCTCTCCACACCAGCCCGGCCATGCGCACCCTCTCCCACCGGCTTCTCTGGGAAGCGCAGCTCTGTCAGCTTAACCCTTAAATATCCCTCTTGCTTCCTCCTCTTCCTCCTCTGCGGAGCACAAAGCGGGAGGGGGAAACCGAGCGGGCTCGGTCGCCGCAGCTGCGCGCTGTTCGAGCCATTTGTTGAGCCTGCTGCTCGCGGCGCGGCGCCTGCGCGCTGGAAAGTTTCCAGGCGGGGATTTGGCCGCCGAGGGGGTCCCTCGCCACGGGGCAGGTGTATTTTCTGGAAGAAGGTGAGAGCGGCGCGCAGCAACACGGTTCTGCCCCCGGTGCGCCTGGTGCCAATGACATCCCCGCCGGGTTGCCAACTTTCCGCACCTGCTGGGGCTCCTGCGCCTTTCGCAGAAATGAGCAAGACGGCAGACAGGTGCGCAAAGCAGGGGATGGAGCGTGTTTCCCACGCGCTCTCCTCGCACGGGAGCCCAGGTCCGTCGGGATGAAAGGTCTGGCGATTCAGGACTGAGCATCTTCTGCATCCTGACTGCAAACGCAGAATGCCAGGAGATGTGGCTGAATGGGGATGGGATACGACTGTCCATTCCTGTACCTGTCCGTTCTCGTGACGGCCCCTGAATACCAGTTGTGGACAGGGTGGCCAGATGCAAAAGAGGACTGGGCACCTGCACGGGTAATCACGTGAAGGACCAGCTTCCCTAAACTCGGCACTAGCCAGACCTCACCTGGAGGGCTCTATGCAGTTCTGGGCACCTAAGTTTTAAAATGATGCAGAAAAGCTAGAGAGGGCACAGGGTCTTTTCCATCCAAGAAGGCCCCCAAGGCAAATCCAATAAGGTTTTCCTCTCCATTTTATTCTCACAACAACCCTATGAGGTAGGCTAAATGGAGAGACAGTGACTGGCTACAAGTCACCCAAAGAGCTTTGTGGCCTAATGGAAACTCGAACTCAGATCTCCCAACTCTGAGTCCAAAATTCTTAACTGCTATGCCACACTATTGGTACCTTTTTTCTTTCTTGCAAAGAAGTGCATATATAATTTACATAATTTACAATCATTGTTTACACAATTCTTCCCATCTCCATTTTATCATCGCAACAACCCCATATGGTAGGTTAGGCTAAGAGTGAGTTATTGGCCCAAAGTCTCTCCCATTGGGCTTTGTAGCCAAGTGGGGATTTGAACCCAGTTCTCCTACACCCCAGTTAAACACTGGAACCACTATGCTGCTGGCCATATTCCTGAAGCGTGTCCAAAAATGCTCTTGCATTGAGTCATATCACCGCATGCTTCTAGCAGCTTTCAGCTTCCCCATCATAACCAATTTTTATTCCGGCTTAATTGCCCATCTAGACCAAGTCATTCCAAAAGACTTTGCATTTCCACAGCAAAAAATACGCTGGAAAATCCACCCCTAGATATTTTGAAGATTGCCCAAGTTAAAAAGAGGGCTCCTTATCTATTTATTTAATCAATTTAGTGATAATTTATTATGTTCTATTGTATTTCAATGTATCTTATTGTGTTGTAAGCCGCCCCGAGGCTTCGGCAAGGGGCGGCATAGAAATGTTATAATAATATAATAATAATAATTTCTATACCACCCATTAACCAGGACAGGCTTGTCTGGGCAGTACAGAAATTAAATAATGTATGAGAGGCAGAAAGCGTGGCCCGGAGCTGCGGCTCCACAGGGAGAACATTCCATTGGGGAGCAAAACAGGGAGAAGTCTGCTCATGTTTGGTGCTCACATCCCAGCTCTGTGCAAGTTACTTTGTTTTCAGACCTTTTCTGAGCCACAGCCAATCGAGTCTCAACCCACAAGGGAGCCTGCAAACTTAGCACAACACACCACTGCGAATTCATGTACTCTTTCATCAAGTTTGTGAAGCTGAAGCATCCTGTGATCCTCACAAATCAACACCTGGCAGGGCTCACTTGTATACCCCTGACAAGGACCAGCTGGATGTTCAACAACTCGCAGACAAGATGCAGACTCACAAGACCTCTCCTAGCAGTAATTTATTTATTTATTTATGGCTTTATTTCCTGCCTTTTTCCTACGAAGGGCTCAAGGCAGCTTACATCATTGTCCTCCTCCATCTTATCCCCACAACAACAACCCTGTGAGGTAGGTTGGGCTGAGAGGCTGTGGCTGGCCCAAAGTCACCCAGTTGGCTGCATGGCTGAGCGGGGACTAGAACCCAGATCCTCTGAGTCCCAGTCCCAGGCTCTTCACCACCACACCACACTGGCTCATAATTAGCCTGATGCGTGTAGCAATGTCCATTTATTTTTATTTATTTATTTAGAATTTTTGTATCGAATGAGCCTTGGGACAGCTTACATACAATAAATAAACATAATACAAATAGTGCAATTAAAATCCAGATTCACCCTGGCTGCAAATTAAAACCTATAGATGATATTAAACATTGTTAAAATATTGTTTAAATGAAAAGGTCCTAGCCTGGCGCTGAAAAACAAATAACGACGGCGCCAGGCGGACCTCTCTTGGGATCATAATAAATAAATATTGGTCCATGTTCTTCCTGCTCTCAAGCACCTGACATTTATCACATGTGGCTCTTTCATTGAGTGAGTCTTTGAGACTGTCAGTAAAGATGTAGACTGGAATGATCTGAGATATATTTTTTATGTGGACTTTCAAAAGCTTATTGACAAAGTCCCTCATCAAAGACTCCTTAGTAAACTTAAGACACAACATAAGAAGAGAAGCTGTCTTATGGATCAGTAGCCGATTAGAGAACAGAAAACAAAGAGAAAGCATAAATTATAAATTCTTCTAATGGAGAAATATGGAGACCAATGCTTTTCAGATTATCCATATATGATCTGAAAATAGAAGCAAGCAGTGAAGTGACTAAAATGATGTCACCAAAATATGCAGGGTGGTTTAAAGCAAAAGGAGGTCCAAAGGGATCTCTCCTAGTTGGGAGAACAAAATTGCAAATAAAATTCAATGTCAACAAATATAAGTAATGCATATTGGGGCAAAAAAAAAAAATCCCTACTTCAAGTATAGGCTGATGGGATCTGACCATAAAAGGATCTTGGAGGACAGCTGAAGAAAATTTCAAGGGAGTGCACAGCTGCTGTGTGAAGGACACTCCCTCCATATTAGGCATAATTAGGAAACACACTGAAAATAAAACTGTCAGGATCCTGTTTCCTTTATACAAATCTAGGGTGTGACTGGACTTGGGAGAATGTATAGCATTCTAGCAACCACAATTAAAAGATATTGTAGAGGATCTGGGTTTGAGTCCCCGCTTGGCCATGGAGCCAACTGGGTGACTTTGGGCCAGTCACAGTCTCTCAGCCCAACGTACCTCACAGGGTTGTTGTTGTGGGGATAAGATGGAGGAGGAGAGATAATGTAAGCTGCCTTGAGCCCTTTGTAGGAAAAAGGCAGGATATAAATCGAAAAAAAATAATAATAAATAAAATAAAAATAGACCTGGGGAAAGGCAGCTAAATAAACAAAGGGCTGGGGGAAAGATAAGTTGTTAGAAATAACACAAGGAAGGTGTGACATGATCAAAGCATACAGAATTATGCACAGTGTGGAAAAAGTGGATTGGGGGACTTTTCCTCCTCTTCCCTAATCCTAGACTGTAACGGGCTCATCCTATGAAATTGAATGCTGAGAGATGCAGAAGGAAGGACTCCTTCACGCAGGGCAGAGTTAAAATAGGGAATTCGCCGCCACGGAAACAGTGCCGGTCACCACTTTGGATGGCCGAGCAATGGATTGGGCAAATTCATGGAGACTCAAGTGATCAGCGCCAGCTGGTCCTCATGGCCATACGCTACCTCCGGTACCAAAGGCAGTGTGCATATGTACAGCAGTTGCTGGGGAACATGGGAAGGAGGGTGCTGTTACACTCACCTCTCGCTCGGGGTTTGCTTGTAGGTAGCCGCTTGGCTACTGTGGGAACAAAACACAGGACTAGAGGGACCCTTGGTCTGATGGAGCAGGGCTCTTCCGATGCTCTTAAATAAGGACAAGCTACTAGTCCTCATGACCATATGATACCGCTATAGAAGAGGCAGGATGCTTATTTATACCAGTTGCTGGGGAATGTGGGTGAAAGGTGCTGTGGCACTGATATCCTGTTTATGGGCTTTCCGTGGCCAGCTGGTTGGTCCCTTCGTGAACAACATGCTGGACTTGATGGACCCTAGTCTGATTCGGCACGGAGGGGAGCAGTGGCCCCACAAGTCGCGAGAGCGCCACGTCGGGGAAAGCCGCGTCTCACCGCAGTGCCAGCCCGCGCAACGGCAGAGCTCCTCTACGCAAGCAACGGCGACACCACGGCGGGGTTAAAACCAGCGAGTGTGACCGCCTAGAGGTGTAAAGGAGAAAGAACAGTGGCGCCACTTCTGGCCCCGCCTCCTCTTCCCCGAAAGCACCGCCGACTGGCGGAGTCACGTGAGGGCAGGGTCAGCTGATCGCTCCTGCGGGCCCGGGGAGCTGCACGTGGGTTTGAATGCCTGGGAGTCTCGCGGCTTAAAAAGGCCTGCAAAAACAGGCGGGGAAAAGTGACGGGCGTGGACGGTGCAATCTGCAGAAATGCGTTCCTGCCTGGATAAGCAGCTCACACGGAGAGGGCTGACTTGGCCTTGCGTGTCTCAAGTTGTCCTTTCCATCCGCAACATTACGGAGATGTTACCATGAGATGAAAATGCAACTTTGGTTATCTTGGAGCAGAAGATGCAAACGGAGCCACGCTCAGCCAGCCTCATGGCAGAAGAAGCCCCGCATGGCATGAAGGCTTGAAGCAGCTGGGACCTCTGGGATGGCAGGGTGCAAAAGGTCCTGCGTAAGGATGCTTTTGTCTCAGATGCCCACCTGTTTCGCTACCAGGAGGCCGGGGGCCCTCGAAAAGCTTGCAGCCGACTCCATGATCTTTGTAATCGGTGGCCGAAGCCAGATCAGCACACGAAAACAGAGATGCTGGACCTGGTGATCCTGGAGTAGTTCCTGACCCTCCTGCCCGCAGAGATGCAGAGCTGGGTCAGGGGATGTGGGCCAAGCACCATGTCCCAGGCAGTGGCCCTGGCAGAAGGTTCCCTTTTGAGTCAGGCAGAGGGGGGAAAGCTGAAGAAGCAGCAGGTCAGTAGGTTTCCAAAGTTCTTCAGAAGGGGACCAGATACCCACCATTTTGGGAGGAAACTGCCCATGGAGGAATTGTCCCAAGCTCTGACAGCCTTTCCTCTACGGTGCTCTGTTATTTCCCTGCTCCCAGTCTGAGATCATCAGTGCTGTTTCAGGGCCACAGACCACTGAGGGCAAGAGCAGGTCACTCACCTGCTATAGAGAAGGAGCCATCAGACAGCCAGGAGGCAATTCCTTGCAGGTGGATCATTCAGGAAGATGCTCAAGCAGGTGAGGACTAACAGGTTGCACTTTACATATTCTGTCTGGTCTGCTTGATATCCAAGTCGAATGATTGCAAGGCATGCCAGAGATGAAAGCTCACAAGGCCCAGACATTGCATACAGTTTGCATGGGCTAATATATGGCTGTGTATGCAAATTTATGTTGTGGGGAGATGGCTGAAGCAGCAAATACAATACTTGAGTGTACACATTATTGTTAAATGTATATAAAGGGTAAGTGATTGTCAAGTCATCCTTGTGTCCCTTGCAGATGGTGGAATTGTACTGACAGTGTACACAGGGTTGTCAAATGGCAAAGCAGAAGCATCTTACGAACAGACTGAGAAGGTAAAACCCCCAACGAGAACAATAGATGAGGGGCAGCTTAGGGCTGTGGACCTTTGCCATGCCTTGCTGGGTACGGAGCCAATCTTGCTACATCACCATTTTCTGGGCTTCGCTCCCTGAATCTGCCATTTCTCCTCCCAGAGTCTTTTAGGAATTAAGATCAGTTCCATAACACAGAATTTCTCCCAGGTATTTTCTTTATCTGTGTTACTGTGTGTTCCCTTTCACTTCCATAACTGATAAGTTCTCCTAACCATTAAAAAAATCACAGAGATGCATGGAAAGTACAGGAGATGCTCTGGAGGAATTTTTTAAAATTTTATTCAGGGCAATGCACTGATTTCCAACCTCGGATCGGAAGATTCGGATGGCATCTAGTCGCTGGGTGCTTTTTCCCATCAGACTTCACTTAGAATACTCTTTTCCCCCTTTCTTTCAGCATCCGGTGACCTTTGAGGACATTACTGTGTAATTCACTGAGGAGGAATGGACTCTCTTGGGTCTGAGCCAGAGGGCCCTGTACACTGAAGTCATGGCAGAGAATTATGGGGCAGTGGCTTCTCTGGGTAAGGCTCACTGGGTAGCTTTCAGCCTTCCAGATCCTCTCCTTCTGGCCTAGAAATGCTGACCCATTGAAGGTGGGGAACTGAATCGCCCTTCACGGAGCTCTCTGGATGACGGCAGTGGAATTATTCATTTAACTTCATTTCTATACCACTCAGCTGAAATTTTCTTGGTGGTGTACAACAATTGACCAAATATGAAAGATACAATAAAAATGCAAACACACTCAAACACAATATAAGATTCCAGTATGCAAAACAGCTAAAAATTCCAATATACAAAAATCTGAAAGTTTAACATCTTAAACATTTTTAGTAAAAATGAAACCTAATTAAAGCTGCAGCTTTAACTCATCATAGGCTATTAAATGCCTGGGAGTAGAGGGCAGTTTTGACCTGAGGCGGAAAAGATGACAAAGTTAGCACTAGGTAGGCCTCGGTGGCAGTACCATCCTGAATTGGGAGGCCAGCACTGAAAAGGCCCTTCCCTTTGCTGCTGCTTTCTGGGCCTCTCTTGGAGGCAGCAGTTGAAGATCTCAGATGAAGATGGCAGGGTCCGGAGAGGAGTTCCATCTGCTATTGTGGTCCCAAGCTGTGCAGGGCTTTGTAGATCAAAACCAGCACCTTAACTTACATTGCAAGTCCATGCAAGCCAAGGGTCAGAATTGGGGTTACTCATTCGGACCTTCTGGTCCTTGTTGTTCTTCTGGCTGCCACATTCTGCACCAGCTGCAGCTTCTGAACAGCCTTCAAGGGCAGCCCCACGTAGAGTGAATTGCAGTAATCTAGTTTGGAGTTTACCAAAGTGTAGGTGACTGAAGCTGGGTTATCTCTGTCTAGATGGCATAACTGGGCCACCAGCTGAAGGTGGTAGGAGGTGCTCCATGCCCAAAATCACCTCCGAGAGCTCCAGCTGTGGGGTGGGACAGAAATTACAACAACAACAACAACAACAATAATAATAATAATAGACAAAGGCAGACCCAGGAGCATGATGCCGACCAGCATCTTGCTCTCTATTTTGTCTTTTCCTGACATCACAATCTTGGCCTTTTTGCCTTTTTCAGTGCTGAGAGGGCACAGCACAAGGGGCTTGGCTGGCACAGGGAGGAAGCTTCAGGGTGCTTTGGGGAGCTGTGCAAAGACTCTGTGGAGTTGCCTGTGGGGCCAGCCCAGCTCATCCTGGTACTCGGCGGAACATCCCACACCGATTCAGAAGAAGTCGAGCTGGTGCCCAGTAAACACCCAACCCCGTTCGTGGTCCTTGTGCTGATGTATACAGCTCTCCACAGGTGTTGGCTGTTCAGACCACACAGGAATATTCTCCTGATGGCTTTGCATTTGCCAGGAGTTCAGTATGTGGCATCCTTAGAAGGTATTTTTGACCTTCAGTTGAAAAAGTTTCCAGTACCCATATAGAATCATCCAGAAAAATAAAACAGGCCCTGCCCACTGAATTTACCCTGCCCAAAAGACACAGCACACAAGGAAAAGAGGATTAGGAGGGTAGAGGGGGAAAAAAGTAAATATACTTTCATCCTTCCAAGAATAGCTAGATCTGCCTCCATTCTTAACGGGAGTGACAGAGCTGAACAAAAATCTTTCATCATGCCTGTTTCCTGTTTCTATGCTGTTTTTTTGTTTGTTTGTTTGACCTTTGCAATTTCCAATCTTATTCCAGAGAGCAGTGAGTTGAAGAGTGTGGATGAAGGAGAGCTGTGCAGAACGTCATTGGAAAGAGTTGGTTTGGATACTGAAGGATGGTGGAGAACAAGTACAGATGAAAACAGGAGGAATGAACTACTCGCGTTGCACAGTGGCAGTTTCTGTGAAGTGGACAGAGAGAGGGAAATAATTCATTGCCCCCTGTGTGGGAAGAGCTTCAGTTATAACTCAAGTCTGAGTTACCATCTGAAAACTCACACAGGAGAGATACCTTTTCGGTGCTCGCGGTGTGGAAAGGGGTTTGTCCGGAAATCAGAGCTTAGTTGTCATCAGAGAATCCACACTGGGGAGAAACCCTTTTTCTGCATGGAATGTGGAAAGAACTTTTCTCAGAAGGCAAGACTGATGCAACATCAAAGGACACATACAGGTGAGGAACACTTAAATGATGGAAATGATGCATACAGGTGAGGGACTATTGTCATTGCTGCATATGGAAAGTATCCAGCACTAGGCAGACGGACTGTTCCTTCAAACAACTCTCACAAAATCTCATTCCAGGTACGGTCATTTTTGGAACCTCGTGGATTCCCAAAGGTTTCCTTTGCTGAGAGGCATGGCGGCAGAGATCAGCTCGTAGTTTGGACCGACGCGCCTGTGCGAGTCCGTTCTCTCAGCCGTGAAACTGCTCACATCAGAGTGCGGAAGGCAGCTGAGCGACAGGGACCTGGGCAACTGCGTGCGAGCTGCCTTCTCCCTCTACACCCCCGATTACAGCAAGCTTGCCAATGACTCGTGGTGTCTTCTGGGAGCTGGGGCACAATTGGAAGCACAGCACCGCATCGCTGCATAAACTGCGACTGTCGGATCAGTCAGACTGAAACCAAAAATAAAATATGTGGAAAGTAGACGGAGTTGCGTGCTGTGAAGCGCAAAGCCGGCCGGTGTGTAACAATCGAAATGGGGTGGAATCCCTAGAGCACCTCCAGAGATTCTACTATCCATCTTAAGTTTATCTAATCCTTGTTTATGTTTCCATTGACTATCTTATTTTTGCTTTAGTATTCAAAGACTAGAAAGAATATAAAGCCCCATGCAAAAGAATATAAAATCCCATGCAAAACAAGCATAAACTTTTATGGATAGAGAAATAAATATGAATCACTGTGAATTAGCTGGTTGGTGCATTATAATTTCCTGTAAAATAGGTTAAATTCTAGATGCAGAGATACTCTTTTTTTAAAAAAACTGCCTCAATTGGTAGATATTTTTAAAGTATTTTGTAGATACAGAGTTATCTTTTAAAAGAGAGATCCCATTATTATTATTATTATTATTATTATTATTATTATTATTATTACATTTCTATGCCGCCCCTTGCCGAAACCTCGGGGCGGCTTACAACATGATAAAATACAATGAAATACAATAGAACATAATAAATTACCATTAAATACAAAATACAAAAAATACATTGGTTTACAAATATAAGGTTAAAATTATCAGTATAAATTAAGTAAATAAAGATATAGGAGGAGAAAGAGAAGGAAGAAGAAGTTGCCCTGGCCAGATCATATGTTTTAACAATTAAAATGATGTTTAAATAAAAAGGTCTCTACCTGGTGCCGAAAAACCAGTAACGACGGTGCCAGGCGGACCTCTTTGGGGAGTGAATTCCATAGGTTGGGTGCCACCGCAGAGAAAGCCCTCCTCCGAGTACTTACTCTCCTAATTTCTTTCATGGAGGGTTCCCGGAGAAGGGACTCCCGCAGATCTCAAAGGGCGGTCGGGCATATACGGACGTAAGCGCTCGTTCAGGTAGCCAGGACCCAAGCCGTTTAGGGCTTTGTAGGTCATAATCAACACCTTGAATTGGGCCCGGGCTTCAATGGGCAGCCAGTGAAGCTGACGGAGGACTGGAGTCATGTGAGCATAACGCCCCGTCCCCGTCAGCAACCTGGCAGCTCTATTTTGCACCAATTTAAGTGTTCGGACTGTCTTCAGGGGAAGCCCCACGTAAAGCGCGTTACAGAAGTCTAGGCGGGAAGTCACCAGCGCGTGTGTCACCGTCGCCAGGCAGTCGTACTCCAAGTAGGGGCGCAGCTGATTAATCAGCCGAAGCTGAAGGAAGGCGTTCCTTGCCACCGCTGTCACCTGAGCTTCCAAAGAAAGCTCCGGGTCAAGGAGTACTCCTAGGCTGCGGACCTTATCCCTAAGAGGGAGTGTTGCACCATTCAGGACCAGGTCAAATCCACCCTCTCCGAAACCCGATCCACCAACCAACAGGACCTCCCTTGCCTGGTTATTGTGCTCCTTGGACGGCATGTCCCTGGTGGTTCCATATAGACCTTTGGAACTCCCCGCCTCTAGAATTCAGGCTGCCAACATCATCTTGTTTTTGTGCCTCCTGAAAACACTTGTCTCAGGATGCCTTCCTGAAACGAACCAGCAATGGCTTTACCGATCCCATTTTTGACAGTGTTGTATTCCTGTATCTGTTTTCCCTTTTCTAATGCACCGCTCCACAATCTCCCTATCAGAATAGGAAGCCGCACATAAATTTGGTAGAGCAAGCAAACGACTAACTGAGCTGTAGTTCTTTTAAACATAGTTTCATGCTCATCTCATGACAGCAAAAGCATTGATAGGAGGAGATGCGGTTCTTCACCAGAGCAGCTTTGGTACGTGGCAGGCGGATGCCGATCTTCGGGAAAGATCTGTGGAATCCCTCCTACCACCCCTTTCCAGCTACTGCAGGAAGCTCAGTGGCAGCACCTTCTCCAGAGGTTGGGATTCCAGGCTCGAGAACAGAGGAAAGCGGAAAGTTGGGGTGGTCCGGTTAGCAGGCTGCGACCGGCACTCGTCCCACCAAAACCAACCATTTAGACGAGCGCAGGAGCCCCTGGCAAAAGAAATGCTCTTCAGAAGGTTGGAGAAGTTTGCAAGGCTTCCATCCTGCATAGCCGGTTCTGAGCCCTGTTGGATTTTGGATGGAGACAGGGCTCTGGGGCTGAAACCGTCAGTCCTTTGAGCAGACAAGCGCAGGATTCCCATCGGACACGTTAATATTGTGTCTTAACCCAGGGCATCTTTCCAGAGTGCTCCACAAGCACTCCACCAGAAAGCCTGCTTCTAAGGCTTTGGTTCTTGCTGTGAGAACATGAAGCGAAAATATGTTTTCTGGCATATGGGCCCTGCCTCTACAGCCCCGTCTCCTTTTATCCAGCCCTGCAAGAACTTCTGCAACATTGAATTCAGTGAAGGTGCGACAGAGAATGGAGGGTGGCCCCTTCTTCCTGCAAGAAAAGCAGGGGAGCAGCAAGAGATAGAAAAGACGGAAGCACGAAGGAGATATTCCTGCACCTGCGAGTCAGAGATCAGGAAGGGAACCCGGTCGAGAGGCGCACAATGCCCATCTTGGCTTGCTGGGCGGCCTGTGATAACTCCCCGTTGCACCCAACAAATCCTGCTTCGCCCTCTCGGCCTCCTCCGAAGCTCCCCTTCTTGCACAGGCTGGATTAGAAACTTCTAAAGTTGCTTTACACCGACGCCGCACACAGCTCCATCTTGCTCAGATTCATCCCACCACCTCATTTAACTGCTTTCTGCTTAAAGGCCGGCAGTTCCACCATTGCAAGCTACCTTGAAACACACTCAAATCCCCTCTGAATCCACCCCCCGCTTTTTATTGAAGTCAGACCTGTGCATCCTGAACCCCCACAGTTCTATCAGCATAATCACCTTTAAATGTCTTACACTGCATATTGTGATGCTTCTTATGGTTTACCAACGTTCAGGGACCCTTCTCTGATGTAGCGATGGCCGCCAATTTGGACAGCTGGAAAAGGAGATCGTGCAAGTTCGCAGGGGTGAAGAACGGCACAGCTCCTTCTAGGGCCGTTTGCTCCCTCTGGAATCGGTCTCCCATGTTCCCCAAAGGCTGGGGAACTTGGGCGGGGGGGTGCTGTTGCTGTGGGGAGGATCCTGTGGGCAGCAGGTTGGCCACTGTGGGAGCAGATGCCCAGCATGGCCCTTCTTGCGTTTTCATACAGGGGGCTGTGCAAATCCAATAAATGCCTGCATGAAATTTAAGAGACTGTTCCAGCTTTTGCAGAGAGGAAGAAAAGAGGCTTGCTTCGCACCCCTAACTAGTGGCCCTCCAGTCCCACCTCACCTCAGCCTCCTTACACCAGCCTTCCTCTTGCCCAGAGAAGTTGGACAACAATGTCCATGATCCTCAGCCAACATGCATGCTGGCTGGGGATCATGGGCATCGCCGTCCCACGAATCTGGGGCCCCAAGGTGAGACGGCCTTCGGCTTCTCGCGCAAGCATTGCTCTCGGGGGCCCTGCTGACTTCCCCAGTCTCCTGTCCCCGCTTCCGGTGGGAGGTAACTTGCCCAGTCCAGCTGCGAGGCAAAGCACCGCCCGATCGGTACAGCAGGGCCCCAGAGAACCTTTGTGCACACGAGGCCGCCTCTCTAGGAAGCGCGAGTCGCTGCTTTTCATGGAATTAATTTATTTTAATAAATTATTACATTTAATCCAGTTAATTTAAATTCAATTAATGATTCAATTAATGATTAAAATTACAAAAAGAATTATTTCTAAGAAGCCTTTTTTTTTTTTTTTTTACAAGGAACAATACAAACTTCAAGACAGACGCTATGGCATGCTAGAAAGAGGCCTTTTAGAAGTGAAAAACATCCCTAATGCAAAAGAAAGACAATTTTGGAGGTGATCCCATTAAATTCACAGGTATATTACCTGAGGTTGGGGCCAAAATAGTAATTGTGATATAAGGAAGACTGAAAAAAAAAACAGGCTGAATAACAGGCAGATTGTACAGAAGAATCCTATTACAGAACAAAAAGTCCTACTGTGAAATGACGCTTACTCCAAAGTAAGCGTGTGTAGGATTGCACAGATGGGAACACTGCCCTCCATCAGAAAGACCGCTTGCCTGTGCCAACTGTAAAGACATTGTAATTGTTGAAGATTTTACAGCGCTCAACTCAATCATCAATTCAAAGGGAGATTCCAGCAAAGAAATTAGAAGAAAACTGAATCTTGGAAGGGCAGCCCTGCAGAAACCAGACAAGATCACTCAGTGTAAGCATGTTTCACTGGACACAAGTACTGGATTATCTGCACTTCTGTATTCCTGATCTCCATGGATGGGTGTGAAAGCTGGAAAGTGAAGGAAGCTAATAGAAGACAACAGATGCGCTCAAAACACAGCGCTGGAGGAAAGCTTTGCAAATACGCTGGACCGACAGAAAGATGGACAGAAATCAGACCAGAGCTTTCCCTAGAAGCAGAAAGGATGAAACTGAGCCAGTGGGGTGTTGTGGTTAAGAGCATGGGACTGGGATTCAGACGATCCGGGTTCTAGTCCCCGCTCGGCCATGGAGCCAACTGGGTGACTTTGGGCCAGTCACAGACTCTCAGCCCAACCTACCTCACAGGGTTGTTGTTGTGGGGATAAGATGGAGGAGGAGAATGATGTAAGCTGCCTGGAGCCCTTTGTAGAAAAAAGGCAGGATATAAATTGCAATATAAATAAATAAAATAAATAAATATAAAGACTGTTATACCTCAGACACATTCTCTGAAGGCAAGACTCCCCGGAGGAGACCATCATGTCAGGGAAGATCGAAGGCAGAAGAGAAAGACCTACTAAGGGATGGATGGATGGATCCCATAAAGGACGCCATGGCCTTGAGTTTACAAGAGCTGAGCATGGCTCTGAAGGCCAAGGCATGTTGGACTCTTGTTTATAGGTTGTCCATCAGTCGGAAACCAGCAGATGGCCTGTAACAAGAACCCCCGACATAGAGAGCTGTGTTCTCTGCACAACGGATCTTTATTTTGGTAGCCTGAAATGGCCACGTTGGGTTGGCTGGCTCAAACAAGGCTCATAGTTAGTTCTTTGGGCCATTCTTTTCAGGAAGAACTTACGGAATGCGCTCCCCAGAGGTCAGCCTGGTGCCGTCGTTATTTGTTTTTCGGCGCCAGGCCAAGACCTTTTCATCTGAGCGGTATTTTAATTGCTGATTTATTTATTGGTTTTAAATTATTTTGCCTGGATGTTTGCAGGTTTTATGTATTTTTTATGTATTTGTATTGATATTTATTTGTTGGAAGCTGCCCCGAGGCTTCTGCGAATGGGGCGGCATACAAGAATTCCAAGTAAATAAATAAAATAAAACCACAGAAGGAAGATTCGGTTTTTGGACAGTGCCTTCTGCATGCTGGCTGCACATGGGGGATGCTGAATTCATAATTCACGGGAATTTGTACACATCGCTAAAGGTGTGATCCGGTGTCATGGGGCAGCGCTGGGGGAAGATCCATGGGGGCTGGAGCCCGAGCCTTTCATTTGGAGACTGCATATCTGGGAGGCGAGCTGCCCCGCTGCCCCACTTTCCGGGGGCATGTACCAAACCACGCCCGAGGATGCTGGCTGTCTCCTATCCTCTTGGATGAACCAGCTTGGGCCCACTTGGGCGCCCTCACCTGGATCTTTTCAGTGCTTGGCATCACCCGTTAGACAGAAGAAGACCCTGCAACCCCCTGCGTGGCCCAACCACCCAGGCTGACAGGGGCATGCTGGGAGTTGTAGGCCTTTTTCCTGTCTCAGCATGCGTGGACTTGTCCCCTAAAATAATTAAACCGTGTTAGTACAACCACTGAAGATCCGTCCTGTATCAGGCCCAGAGTCCATCTTGACCACCGTTCTGAGACCACAGTGGCCAACCCGCTGTTCACATGATACCAACAAGCAGCATATGAATGCAAGAGCACCCTCCTACCCAGGTTCCCCAGGAACTACAGTGCCACCAGGTCTGGCTACAGCCATCAGGACTAGTAGCTTTGATAGTCACAGTACTGTTCTACTTTCTCCGTCTATAACCTTTCTATTGAAATGATCATTTCTTGTCAAATGTAGACATACCCCTTCTGTTTTATTTCAGCTTTATTCATAAGTTTATTTACAATATTTACCTTTTTTATGATAAGTGTGACCAATAAGGTTTGATCATCTGTTCTCTAATCATTTAGAAATATTGTAAAACACTCCAAACTTTCTGCTGGATTAGAATTATGGCTGAGAGCATTCTGGAATGATCTGGAGTCCTGGGAAACTGGGACACACTCTGTATTCAGAGTGTTAGGAACCCAACTACTGCTTTGAGGATCCTGGTTCCAATACTCCGAGTGGATCTTTTGATGGGAAATCAGGTTTCTTTTCTCGCTAAAGCTCTTTCCACAGTCCAAGCATTTGTACGGTTTCTCTCCAGTGTGTGTCATGTGGTGTCTAAGGAGGTGCGCTTTTTTACGGAAGTTTTCCCCACACTCTGAGCATTTAAATGGCTTCTCCCCTGTGTGGATTCTTTGATGTGTAACAAGGTTTGTACTTGTACAAAAGCTCTTCCCACACTCGGAACAAGTGTATGGTTTTTCCCCCGTGTGAATTCGTCGATGTGAAGTAAGGCTTGTGCTTGTACTAAAGCTCTTTCCGCACTCTAAACATGTATATGGTTTCTCCCCTGTGTGAGTTCTTTGATGAAAAATAAGACTTGCATTCTGGGCAAAACTCTGTCCACATTCTAAACATGTAAATGGTTTCTCACCCGTGTGGGTCCTTTGATGTGCCATAAGGGTTGAACTGTGACTGAAGCTCCTTCCACACTCCAAGCATCTGAATGGTTTCTCCCCTGTGTGAGTTCTCTGATGTAAAGTAAGGTTTGTATTCTGACTGAAGCTCTTACCGCATTCTAGGCATTTGTATGGTTTTTCTCCTGTGTGAACTCTTAGGTGGGAAGTGAGCTGCGATCGATGACTAAAACTCTTTCCACATTCCAAGCAAGCATATGGTTTCTCGCCTGTGTGAATTCTTTGGTGTCTAACTAACGTCGTCTTCTGACAGAAGCTTTTTCCACACTCCAAGCATGTGTAGGGTTTCTCACCTGTGTGAATGCGTTGGTGTGTAATTAGTGCTGCACTCTGACGGAAACTCTTCCCACACTCCAAGCAAGTATAGGGTTTCTCTCCTGTGTGGATTCTTTGATGTCTAATTAGACCTTTCCTCTGAGAGAAGCTCTTTCCACAGTCTGAACATTTAAAAGGTTTTTCCTCCTTGTGTGTCTTTGAATGAGCCTTCAGGCTTGATTTACAACTGAAACTTTCCCCACATACCAGGCACTCACTGCCTTCCTTTCCTTTTTTTTGCTTTTCTTGGACTGAAATTTCACAAATGTCCCCACCCTGAGGAATAAAGAGTGCATTCGTCTGTGTCTCTTTCCCTTCGCTCTTCTTGCTCAGCTGTTCCTCTTCTTTGCACGTTACTCTTTCCAACAATAGAGTCTGTGCTTCTCCCTTTTTCTGGCTCTCCCAACCATCACCTGTTGGTATAAAGAGATAAAACTGATAAGAGCCTAAAACAGAACCCCAAGTCACAGAATAACACCCATTAAATCACATTTTGAGTGGTGGAATAAAGCAATTGCAGTGGAGGTAGATCCTGCCCTATTACACAGAAATTCTGTTGACTAGGACTTAATGACAGAGTTGGAATAGGGCAGTATAATGTTCCTGGGAACTTTCCACTGCTCTGAATACACAGGGATTTGATTTCATAGAATCCTAAAAGAGAAGAGTTGAAAGGGATCAGAGGGCCATCAGGTCCAATCCCCTCCTCAGTGTAGGAGGGAGTTAAACCATCCCTCTCAGGAGGCTGTCCAGTTTCTTCTTGAATGGCTGTCCCCAGTGCCAGAGAGCCCATGACACTAAAGCAACGGGTTCCACTGTCATGGTGCCCTGACAGTGAGGAAACATTCCTGATGTCCAGCCTGATTCTGGGTTGTCCTGAGTTGAACTGATGATTCTGTGTCCTACACTGTGGTATCAGCAAGAAGAGACCTTGACCTTCCATGTCCTCCGCTCTGGGTGATCCTAGCCATCCTCTTTGGGATAGCCTTTCAAATACTTGAGTGCTATCCAATCTCCCCTCAGTCTTTGCTTCTCAAGGCCAAACCTGTCCAGTTCCCTCCTCACAGGCCTTTGTTTCCCATCCCCAGATCATCCTGGTTGCCCTCCTCTGAACCCTTCCCAGCTCTTCTGCGTCTTTCTTCAACTGTGGTGCCCGGAACTGGACGCAGGACTCAGATGAGGCCTAACCAGTGCTGAGAAAAGCAGATCTAGGACTTCGTGTGATTTGGAAGTGATGCTCCTGTCAATGCATCCTAAAATCACATTTGCCCTTTTTGCAGCCACATCCCGTTGTCGATTCCTATTTGACAAGCCTGGCTTACATTCAGGCTCCAATCCTATACACACTTTCCTGGGAGTAAGTCCCACTGAGCTCACTGGGGCTTACTTCTGAGTAAATATGTATAAAATTGCACCTCAATTTTTTTTTTAAAAAGTATTCTGATAGACAGAAAAAGGCCTGCAGCTTTGCAGTTGGCAGGTTCATGCTGGGAGCTAGAGGGCTTTTTTCTATCAAAGGATACATGCACCTTCCTTCCTTCCTTCCTTCCATCCATCCATCCATCCATCCATCCATCATATATTTTTGCCCTGCCCCCTTTCCTGCAAGGAACCCAAGATATAATCCTCCAATTTTCCATTTTATCACCATTATTTATTTACATATTATAGATACCGTGTTTCCCCTAAAATAAGACCTGGTCTTAAATTAATTTTTGTTCCAAAAGATGCATTAGGGCTTATTTTCAGGTGATGTCTTATTTTTTCCAATCTACATTTATTCATGTACAGTCACATCATCTTCTGGAACATTGTCGTTAACTCTCCAAACCCCGAACTGTGTTGCAATGGATGTACTAAATGAGTCCATCTGGCTGACGATCTTAACTGGGTCTTATTTTTGGGGTAGGGCTTATATTACGAGCATCCTGAAAAATCATGCTAGGGCTTATTGTCTGGTTAGGTCTTATTTTTGGGGAAACAGGGTAGATCCCAGCTTTCCCCCACTGTGGAACTCAACGTGGCTCCGTGTGATTCCCAGGTGGTCTCCCCTCCAGGCTCAGGCCAGCCCTGGACCTGCTTAACTTCAACAGGGTGGCTGCCCCCCCGAGGCATTTTATCCTCCCAACAGCCCTAGGTTAGACTGAAAGTCAGTGACCGGCTCTAATTCTCAAAGGGAGCTTTAGATAAGGATGTGTGAGGAATCCATTCTTGGGGAGGGAATCCATCAGATTCCCTGGGCTCGGCTTATTTATTTATTTTATTTATTAAAATATTTCTATGCTGCCCCATTCGCCGAAGCCTCGGGGCAGCTCACGACATAAATTAAAATACAAGAGATAACAATATAAAACAAGTCGCCCTGGCCAGATAAAATAAGCGAATAATACTAACAATTAAAATGACGCTTAAATAAAAAGGTCTTCGCCTGGCACCGAAAAACAAATAACGACGGCACCAGGCAGACCTCTCTGGGGAGCATATTCCATAGATTGGGCGCCACCGCAGAGAAAGCCCTCCTCCGAGTAGCCACCCTCCTAATTTCTTTCACGGAGGGTTCCCGGAGAAGGGCCTCTCCCGCAGATCTCAAGGGGCGGGCGGGCATATATGGATGTAAGCGTTCCTTCAGGTAACCAGGGCCCAAGGTTTCCCAGACTTTGCTGTGGCCCCGAGGCTGAATTTCACCAGCATTTGTGGGCCCCTCACCAGGAATCAAGCCCCCACTGGGCAAGCAGCCTCCTTCCTCCACACCACGGCAGCTCTTCAGCCAATCCATGAGAATTCGCAGACCTCTTCTAGGCCCGGCCTGCTGTCCAAGACTGGGCCAAATAATTGAGAAAGTCCACAAATGCTAAAGGAATCAATTCTTCTAGGAAGGCCTCAGCAATTATAGGCAGCCCATAAATATATGCAAATAAACAAACAGATAAATTCTAAGCCTAGCTTTTGATCACACCCTTTGTCATTATGGGCTGTATCTGAAACATCTGACCATTAGCTGAACAGAAATATTTGACCAGGTTAAAAAAACAACCCAGGAATTTACTCTTAGTATATGGTTTAAATGTTATATTCAAACAAATTTAGAGCTTGACTTAGAAATATTTTTATGCAATGAAACACAACAAGGGAGCCCTACCTAGAGAAGCCAGATTCTCGCAATTTTCCTCCATCACCTCCACATGCAAGGCTCTTTCGACTGGGCCCAGCAAGGCCCACTCCTCATCGGTGAAATAAACAGCCACGTCCTCAAAGATCACAGGCGCCTGGAAGAAAAAAAAGCGGGGAAAACTTAGACAAAAATGGACAGGCAGGGGAGAGGCATACAGTATGGAAACCGTTCACAGTGATCCTTTTCTCTCCCTCTCTCATACCACCAGCAAAGACCTCAGAGTCTTTGGTCTGCCCACCTGCAGAGCTGGGAAAGTGTATCAGATACAGAGGATCAAAATGGCGGCTAGTCACCATGGTTATTTGTTTTTCGGCGCCAGGCGAAGACCTTTTTATTCAAGTGGCATTTTAACTGTTAACATTATTGGTTTTATCTGGCCAGGGCGGCTTATTTTATACTGTATTGTTGTATTTTAATTTAATATTTATATTTTTAATTTATATTATAATTATTTTAACTTAATGATGTGAGCCGCCCCGAGGCTTCGGCGAATGGGGCGGCATAAAAATGTTTTAATAAATAAATAAAATAAATACTCCAGGATTAAAGGCGACAGAACAATTAAAAGTGGGAAACAACAGAGGGGCAGGCAATTGACCTCACATCCTTGTGGGCTTTGTGGCTCCATCTGGTGGGAAGAAGGATGGAGACTAAGGTGAGCCCCTGATCCGACCCGACAGGGATTTAGTTTATCCTCACACTCAAGTGTCAGCCTGGGACGAGGGAGATCCGGGTTCCAGCCCCACTTGGCTGTGAAGCTCACTGGGTGGCTTTGGGCCAATCATGTAGTCCCAGCCTAGCCTACCTCACAGGGGTGTTGTGGGGATGAAATGGAGAGGAGACGGGTGGCGTGAGACACCTTGAGCTCCTTGCAAGTGGAAAAACGGTGAGATTAAAATATAACTAAGACCAAGGTGGCATTTTGGGAAGGTGACCGGCTTCCCCCAAAGGGGTCTAACTTTTTGAATGGCCTCCTCACTTGCTTTACTGAAAGCAGAGAGAGAGAGAGAGAGACGGCGAGAGAGAGATGGAGAATGAGAGAGAGAGTGAGAGACGGAGAGAGAGAGAGACAGATGGAGAATGAGAGAGAGAGAGAGAGAGATGGAGAGAGAGAAAGATGGAGAATGAGAGAGAGAGGGAGAGAGACAGATTTATTTATTTATTTATTTATTTATTTAGGAGGCTTCTATGCCGCCCCATTCGCTGAAGCCTCAGGGTGGCTCACAATAATAAATAAACACAATATAAAAACAATATAATTTTAGTCGACAAATTGAGTCGACAATTCGCTGTTTATATGCAGCCTCTTAGCTATACATACTGTGTATTGTAAACGATGGGTATTGCTTTTTTAAAAAGTTAATGCTGATTTCTTCAGCTGGCTAATAATTTATGTCTTTTGTACTAATGCTACATTGTTTAATGTTGCTTGCTAAAACTGTAATGAAATGTAAAACTACAAAAACCACAACACTGATGGAATCTAGACTTCATGGTCCACTATAAGCATGAATCATTCGGGACCAAACCTTTGCTTGCACCACTACAGATTTGAATTTGCAAATGAGTGCCAGCTTTTTCCTTCTTTACTAAACAATTTACCAAATCCAAAGATTACATAGATAGAAAAAGGTACACTGTACGTTTCTGCTCGCACACATCGTTCACTGTCTTAACCAGCCTTCTCCACCACGTGCTTTCCAGATGTGCTGGACCGCTACTCAAGAGAGGGAGAGAGACCTGCTTTGCATAGAATGGAAAGCCACAATAGGGCAATATCCATGCAGGTGTTTTGCTGCAGCCACTGATGCCACTTTGAATACTTGAGCCACGGAGGGTAGCTTGTTGTTATGTGCCAATCTGGGCAAGGTGGGTTGCTGGCAGGGCTGACGAGGCACCCAGAGCCCACGGGCTGTTCTAGGGTTGTGGGTGACTTGCGGAGCGACCCAGCCACCCAGGTTCGCACGTAACGGGAAGCCCTGGGGTGCGCCCGCACGGCTGCAATATTGAAAATGGGGGACGCACGCGCTACAAAAGCTGAGCAGCGCAACTCATCCTCAGCGGCGCCTCACTGTGGAGCCAGAGAGATCCCTCCAAGGCCTGGCCAAGACCCACTGCCCCCTGGCCAAGAATTGCCCCCCTACCTGTTCAGTGCTTCTCTCCACTCCAGTACTAAGAGGAGACATCCAAGAATACCTCCCTGGAGTCGTTCCACTGCCTGTGAGGGACACAAAGGCGATGGGAAGGTTTTGCTTCTCTTCACACAACACAGCTCAAAAAATAGTATGTTTTCGGTTCCATAGCAGCCTTCCCCTAACGGCTGGACTACAACCACCAGCATCCTCAGCCAGCACTCATTATAGCATCACAGAGAATGGTTTGCAGGGGAAGCCAGATGAGGTGGGACTGAGGGAACTGGGCCTTTTCAGCCTGGAGAAGAGGAGACTCCAAGGGGATCTGTTGGCGACATACAGGTATGTGAGGGGATGTCACACAGAGGTGGGCAGAGACCTGTTCTCCCCTGCAGAGGAAGGTAGGATGCGCTCCAACAGAGCAACGCTCAGGGAACCAAGATTCAATCTAGATGCCAGGAGGTACTTCCTGACAGTTAGGACCTCTAGGGTGTGGAAAGGGCTTCCACCCCATTGATGAGGGTGATGCACAAGGATAGGCTAGACATGCACATGGTGGGCATGTCGTGAGCAGAGCCGGCTGGGGCCGGGGGTCAGACTAGATGTCCCAGGAGACCCCTTCTGACTCGCTCTGTTTCTGTGTTTCCAAGCAGAAGCCAACAGAGGAAAACAATGCTGCTTTACAAGCCAAAAGACCAAAGAGTGATGTGGGTGAAGGGAGCTGAAGACCTATGTAGAATATTTCAGATTTGGAAGGGACTGTAGAGGTCAACTAGTCCAACCTGCTGCTGATTCTATGATCTTGTAAGAACAAGGGTTTGAGCCTCGTGAAAGAGAGTTGTCACGAAACTGACAATGACGGGACGCTCTTCTCAAGGCAAGGAGGCTATCAAGCACCTCCCTCGAGGTGGGTCTTTCCACGGGGACACCTCCCAGCCCACAAGCTTCTCAGGCTGCACCACACTTAGGAACACAGAAAGAGAGCGAGTCAGAAGGACCCTCCCGGGCCATCTAGTCTGACCCCCGGCTCCAGCCGGCTCCGCTCATGACATGCCCACCACGTGCAGCCCTTCCTTTTCACCAGACTTTCTCCCTGATTCCTCTCTGTTTGGAGGCTGCGTGCCTTTGCCTGTCCTGAGAACGCTTCGGCGTCCGCTCTGCCCCTGCTCTTCTTGCCGAGCTCTTGCTCCCACATCTCGGCCCCTGCCCAACCCCTCTCCACCCCCAAGCCCACTCAGAATCAGTTCCTATGTCGTCTGGGGACCCATCCGCAGAGGTGCTAAGCCCCAAGCTTTACATTAAGGCAGCCTGGCATGTCACAACTTGATGTGGCACCAAAATTAAGGCCAGCCACGTGGAGCGGACGAAGGAATTCGAGGTCGTCGTGACTGGGATTCTGGAGGAGGAGGAGGAGCCTAAGATTTGGAGAGGGGAGCCCAGGGAGTGCACAGGCCTTTGAAGCACCTCCAGGGTCATGGTCCGCAGGTTCCAAGGCTGAGCAGAGAGCAGGGGTGTTTTGGGAGGGACAGGATGGGTCGAAGAAGGGGAGGAGGGCGGGCCACTGCCTTGCCTGGTCCCTGACCCCCCGATGAGGCCTCGGGGAGACGAGCTATCCAGTTGGAGGGCTTGTGCTGCCCCCACTGCCTGGCTCTTCACCCACGGGAGCCCCAGAATGACCGAAAGGGAAGGATTTGGGGGAGAGGGCCCCAGTTCAGGTTCCACTTTCTTGTCATGCACAGAGGCTCAGTTTCCAAAACCCCCTGGAGGGCTTCTCAAGTTGCTTCATCACGTAGCTTCGAAGTGCCTATCAAGATCTGCATCGCACAGAGACTGCCGGGCGTTTTGGAGCTGCGGGCGAGAGGGGAAGCGCTGGGAAACCTCACAGGGCAGTTTCCGCACGCAGCCGCCAATCAAGCCTCCTCTTCCACCGGTGGGGAGAGAAGCGTTGGAAGGGCAGGTCCAGATGGACAGGTCCCCCGTCCAATCACTGAAGGGCGTGGACCCTGGGCGTACGAGAGAGAGGGAAATGCAGGGGAGATACTGCCCCGGGAATCCTTACCGAGTGAGGTGATGGCTTGGTCACAATCCTCAACGATCCATTTGTACAGCGGTCTCTGCTCGGGGCCGGAGGGCGTCTTCGCAGCCTTAAAGTGACTGGAGCCCAGTTCTTCTGACAGTCCCCACGCCTGCAACAGAAGGGAGGAAAAAGTCCTTGCAGAAAACGGGGAGCAGGTTTTACCAAGCGGAACAAACTGCTCGGGAGACCCCAGTTTGGGATCTTTAAAAGAAAAGGTGCATTGAAAGGGAGTCTTGGGTCTCTGTTCTCTGACCCTTGAACTATCCAGATTTATTTATTTAAAACTTTTGTAGACTGTCCCATTGCTGAAGTCTCGGGACGGTTTAACAATAAAATGTAAGAAAGAAAAATTAATTGAAACACAGCGTCTGAAATTTTTGCAATAATAAAAGCCCCACTTAAAACAGTCAGATCTTAAAACATTGGGAAAATAAAAAGGGTTTGGCCTGGCAGCAAAAAGAATAAAGTGACAGCGCCAGGCAAACCTCTCTGGAGAGCGAATTCCACAATTGGGGTACCACCACAGAGAAGGCCCTTCTCTGGGTAGTCACCCTCCTAATCTCCTTCAGATGAAAGGGAAAGGGTCTCACCTGCTTTTCTTGCTGCTTCTTGTCCTCCGCCTGGCTCAGGAGGAAGCCTTCGGCCAGGGCCACCGCCTGGGAGCTGGTCTCTGGCCCGCATTCCCTCACCCAGCTCTGCATCTCCGGGGGAAGGACAGCCAGAAATTGCTCCAAGACCACCAAGTCCAGGATCTGATTTTTGGTATGCCGCTCTGGTGCCAGCCACCGAAGGCAAAGATCACGAAGGTGACTGCAAACGGATCGGGGCCCCTCGGCCTCCTGGTAGCCGGAGTGCCTGAAGCGTTGGCACTTCACATCCAAGCGAAGGCTGTCCTCTTCCCCCAGGATGCCCCGCATACTTCTTCCCAAGAAGCCCTCCTTGCTATTTGTGGCACCAAGATCTTGTTCTGCTTCTGGCCCAGCGGAGTCTTGGACTTCCATTTTCGATCCGGGCTCCAAGGCAGCCCCCTTTGGGGCTGGAAGATCGTCTCCCTCTTCTTCCACTTGCTTCAAGGCAAAAAAGCACCCTGAAGTTGTGGGAAGCCAAGTGGCCTGGCTTGCAAAATATGATGCTACTGATGTGCTAACGGGATCATCAAAGCAGAGGCGTACGATTCCAGCAGGCAGGTGGCTCTTCTCCCTGAAGGAAAGCCAAGGACACACGAGATTTCTAAGAGGGGGTGGGGGGAGGTGGGGCCTTCAGCTGAGGGCTGGAGAACAAAAATCACACCGTGCCCCATTCCTCCCACTGGCGTGTCCCCAGAAAACCTTCCCTTCCATACTTTCCTCTCTCTTCCTGGCTCAGCAGCATGTGCCACATCCAGGGGTGACCCGTGGGTTATCCGTGGTTTGTTGCTGAGCTGTAGGTTAATGTGTTGTCTGAACCCAGCTGACATGACAAAGCATGGCGAACAGCCCACAGTTCAAACAACCCAGCCATGACTGCGTTTGCATGACTCCCTAAGCCATGGTGGCTTCATGTGTTGTCCGAACCTGGTGGCACTCTTGCCGGACTCGAGCGGATGGCACGCCTCCCCAAGCTTCAGATGCACTTCAGAAAGGCATACGTGCCAGCGGAGTCGGCCACTACCGATCCTGGCAGAGCAGGGCTTGCCACTGGTGGGATCAGCCTGCAAGACACAGGCAGGACAAGCCATGCTGGGGCCTCTGGAGGCTGAGCACAGCACTGCTTGTCCTTCATCTAGCACAGAGGCCCAAAGTGTGGCATAGCGGTGAAGAGCACGGGACTGGGACTCAGGCGATCCGGGTTCGAGTCCCCGCTCGGCCATGGAGCCAACTGGGTGACTTTGGGCCAGTCACAGTCTCTCAGCCCAACCTACCTCACAGGGTTGTTGTTGTGGGGATAAGATGGAGGAGGAGAATGATGTAAGCTGCCTTGAGCCCTTTGTATTATTATTATTATTATTATTATTATTATTATAACATTTCTATGCCGCCCCTTGCCGAAACCTCGGGGCGGCTTACAACATGATAAAATACATTGAAATACAATAGTACATAATAAATTACCATTAAATATAAAAATACAAAAAATACATTGATTTACAAAAATAAAATTAAAATTATCAGTATAAAATAAAAATATAGGAGGAGAAAGAGAAGGAAGAAGAAGTTGCCCTGGCCAGATCATATGTTTTAACAATTGAAATGATGTTTAAATAAAAAGGTCTTTACCTGGCGCCGATAGGAAAAAGGCAGGATAGAAATCGATACATAAATAAAATAAATAAAAAATAAATAAAGTGGCAGGCAGGTTCAACAGGGGAAGAGGAGACTGATCCAGCAAGCCAGCTGGAGTGATTGCCTCTTCCCTGACAGCCCGTGTGCTGTTATTAGCTTCTTCTGGAGGAAGCTGATGACGGCCACCCCTCTCTCCACGCACCCAGAACTGCCTGGCCAGAGCAGCAAACCTTCTTCTCCTGTCGCCTGGACTTCTTGCGTCCTCTGGGTTGAGGAGATGCGGCAAGTCCAAGCATGGCTAGACAATCCTTGGTTACAATGGGGCCACCCTACAGGCAGGGGGCTCTTGGTTCAGGCAGCATGCTATAAACTGGAGTAGCATGGAAGCCATGGTGGTTTTGTATGTCATGCAAGCGCAGTCTAAAGGTCAGGAGCAAGCGAAGCTTTCTGAGGAGGCCAGGCCAAAATTGGGGGTCAAAGCCGAAAGGGCCATTCCCTGATCTGAAGGTCGGGGTAGCTAGAGAAGGGCCTCAGATTTTGATCTATCTATCTACCATATTTCCCTGAAAATAAGCCCTAACTGAAAAATAAGCCCTAGCATGATTTTTCAGGATGCTCATACTATAAGCCCTACCCCCAAAATAAGCCCCAGTTAAGATCATCAGCTCAACGGACACATTTAGTATGTCCATTGCAAAACACAATGGACGTATTAAATTATAAAATAATATTAATATGCAATTAAATATAAATAAATGATATTGCTGACATTCATACTTAAAATAAATGATAATGTAAATTATAACGAAGTATCTGTAAATACTGAAGCGGGCGCCTTTGGACAAGAGAACGTGGGACTTCTTGCCAAATGACCAATCCGTGTATAAACACAACGCACAAATAGCATGTGCACTTGATAATGAACAGACATGTTTCATAATGCAATACATCATGTCCGTAACGGATATACAGTGGTACCTCGGCTCACGCACGCCTTGGTTCACGACCAAATCGGGTCACGAACAAAAAATTCACGAAAATGTCGATGTGGGTCATGAACGCCACATTGTGTGGTGACCAAGATCGCAGCCACCTCCCCACCGCCCCCCCCCCGAGTGGGGAGATGGTCGCGATCGCAGTTCCGTTCGTGCAGGGAAGGCGTGTGCGATCACAGGTGAGCTCCTGCAGGAAAGACGGGTGCGATCTCGGCCATCTCCCCCCTCCTGCTCCCAGCCAGCACGATCGTGGCCATCTCCCCACCCCACCGGCGTGCCCCGTTCGCGCCCGTCTCCCCCCATCCCCAGCACGGTGGGATGACGGGGCCCTGCAGGGATGACAGGTGTGATCTTGGTCGTGCTGGTGGGGCGGGGAGATGGCCACACACTTTGTTGTTCTTTGTCACCTTGCCTCACATTTTTTCTGATTAAAAAAATGGTTACGGAACAGATGAACCTTATTTACACTGAACCTTATGGGGAAATTGGACTTGGCTCACGACCCATTTGGGTCACGACCAGAGTCTTGGAACGGATTAAGTTTGTGAGCCAAGGTAGCACTGTATTTAATGCTCTCGTGTGTTGCCACTCCTATCTTGTAAGTCTTCAATTAATACTTGATTTAATGGTAGATTTAAAGGGAATAATATTTTGACCCCAAGACAAGACGAGTGCAAAACGAAAGATCTATTCCATCAAGTACAAGAAAGGAATTGTGGAGGACTCTCGGGGCAAGAATCTTACAGCTTTTGTAAGAAAAAAATAAGGTATCACCTGAAAATAAGCCCTAATGTGTCTTTTGGAGCAAAAATTAATATGATCTGGTCATTTTCGGGGAAACACAGTATCTATCTATCCATCTATCAATCATTCAATCAATTGCGATTTCTAGGCCTCTTTTAAGAGTGGAACATCGTATGTTGGTTGGTTCTTTGTAGATAAGCAAGAGCAAGTTGAGCTGAAATAGGACCCCTCTTTCGACCACCTCTCTCTTTCAAAATTTCAGTTCTCAGATCCAGAAACCTGTTTCACCCCAAACTGCACGATGGCAGCCTTATAAATAAGTCAGCAAAAATTCCTAGCTTCAAACATTTTAATTAGAATATTTAATTAATATCCTAAATTACTTGCTTCACTGACAAGTCCATTCTCGTTGAGACGATGAGAAATCTAGCAGTTTAAAATTATCACCACTGCACATGTTCTTGGAAGTAAATCGTATCTGCTAAAATTATATCTTTGCCTGATTTTTCTCTTTGAAATGACAGGACGTAGCTTGCTCTCCCTACAAAAGTTTAGTGTTGCAGGTTTCTTACTCCAGCTCTGTATTTAGTCAGATGTAGCCTAAAACACCCTTTGGCACAATTCGAAAACTAGCTCACATTGGTCATTCCTCAGTCTTTCTTGGCTTAAAGTGGGGCTCAGAATGGGTTGTCTTCAACCTGATCTCTGGACAGCATTCCTGGCATATTTTCAGGGGCTGCTATTCCGATAGTTTCCCCGCAACTAATTCCACTGTGGATTTATTTTTCAGATAGTTCATTTGCTGCATCGGAAACCTGGGACCAGTTCCACCCTACGACAGCTTTGAAATTCACCCCAGCTGTGAGGAGTTTTGGCTTTTCTCCTGACAATAACGCCTGACTGTTCCACATGCCTAAACCACAGGCACTTCCGGGTTGTGCCATCACATGATTTCATTCACAAAATAGAGCTGCCAGGTTGCTGACGGGGACGGGGCGTTATGCTCACATGACTCCAGTCCTCCGTCAGCTTCACTGGCTTCCCATTGAAGTCCGGGCCCAATTCAAGGTGTTGGTGATGACCTATAAAGCCCTAAACGGCTTGGGTCCTGGCTACCTGAACGAGCGCTTACGTCCGTATATGCCCGACCGCCCCTTGAGATCTGCGGGAGAGTCCCTTCTCCGGGAACCCTCCATGAAAGAAATTAGGAGAGTAAGTACTCGGAGGAGGGCTTTCTCTGCGGTGGCGCCCAACCTATGGAATTCACTCCCCAAAGAGGTCCGCCTGGCACCGTCGTTACTGGTTTTTCGGCGCCAGGTAAAGACCTTTTTATTTAAACATCATTTTAATTGTTAAAACATATGATCTGGCCAGGGCAACTTCTTCTTCCTTCTCTTTCTCCTCCTATATTTTTATTTACTTAATTTATACTGATAATTTTAATCTTATATTTGTAAATCAATGTATTTTTTGTATTTTTGTATTTAATGGTAATTTATTATGTGCTATTGTATTTCAATGTATTTTATCATGTTGTAAGCCGCCCCGAGGTTTCGGCAAGGGGCGGCATAGAAATGTTATAATAATAATAATTTTGCAGGGGGTTGTTATTATTAGTATTCTGTCTTCCATTTCTCTACTGCCCAATAGCAGAAGCTTTCCAGGTTGGCCCATAATACAGAAAAGTTGGTGTCTCCCTAGATGTGTTTTCCATGATGGCATTTTTTTCTTTACCAGTTTTTTTAAAACCACATATTAAGGAGGAAAAGAAAAAAAAGACACAATAGCCATACAGTGCTTTTCATTCTAAGTAGAAAGGGCCCACCCTCAGACCCGGAAGCACTCCCGAATTTGAGATAAGGTTGACTCTGTTTAAATTAAACTCCATTTGAAAGGAACCACTTAGTTTTGCAGACAGGAGAAAAGTTAATATCTGATTTAACAGTCACAAAGTCCACTTTCCCCAGCCCAACACCTTCTAGATGTGCTGGACTGCATCACCCAGAATCCCCCATCCAGTGCAGCTTGACACGGCTTGGGAACAGAAGAAGAGCCCTGCAGGATCAGACCCAGGGCTCATCTTGTCCAGGCTTGTATTCCCACAGTGGCTAACTGGTCACCCACAGGAATCCCACAGGCAGGATAATTCAAGACACCCTGCTATTCACGTTGTTCCCCAGCAAATGGTGTTCAAAAGCCTCCAGTGCTGGAGGAAGAATACGAGGTGTGTCCAGACAGTAATGAGAATGGAGTCCCCATGCCGGAGAAGGGCTCCGCGAAGGAAGAAGCTGGCCCAGGTCCCTTGGGGTGGGGAGCCAGGCGTACGTTGGAACAATGATCAGTTGCATTCCAGCCCCGTCAGAGTCGAGATTTTATCCTTTGTGACACCCTGTTTATTTATTTTATTTATTTATTTTTCGATTTATATCCTGCCTTTTTCCTCAAAGGACTCAAGGCAGCTTACATCATTCTCCTCCTCCATCTTATCCCCACAACAACCCTGTGAGGTAGGCTGGGCTGAGAGTCTGTGACTGGCCCAAAGCCACCCAGTTGGCTCCATGGCCGAGTGGGGACTAGAACCCAGATCCCCTGAGTCCCAGTCCCACGCTCTTAACCACTACACCACACTGGTTCAAGTGCCTTGTGTTAAGAAAAATGCAAGCGAGTTTGGAACAGCCATGCACAATAAAATTTTGTGCGAAACTGGGCAAAATGCACCAGAAACTTTGGAAATGGTGAGGAAAGCTTATGGAGAAGCTGCGCTATCATCCGCACGAGTCGCGATCGGCTCATCGTTGGATCCTTCATCACCACAAAGCACCGAGTCACAGTGCTTTGGGTGCCAGAGAGTTTCTGGCTGAAAAACACATCGCGGGGCTTCCCCACCCACCTTACAGCCCTGACTTGGCTCCTTGTAACTTTTTCATCTTCCCAAAGATGAAGAACGGTTTGAAAGGACACCATTTCGGTAGTGTGGATAATGTCCAAAGAGCCCCTCCGCAGGCTCTGGACGCCATCCCACTTGGAGATTTCCAGGGATGCTATGAAGAATGGAAAAATTGCTGGGAGCGTTGTGTACACTCACCAGGTGCTTATGTTGAAGGAGACAACGCCAACATTCAACGTGAGCTGATTGTTCCGTGTCCTACGCTCTGGTATCAGTGAGAAGAGATCTTGACCTTCCAGGTATCAAGAGGGATACGATGTCCCCCCATTGGCTTCATGTTCATTCCTCCTATATTCTTTATTTACTTATTTTATACTGTTAATTTTAATTTTATATTATTATGTTTGTATCTCAGTGTATTTTTTGTATTTTTGTATTTAGTGGTAATTTATTATGTTCTATTGTATTTCAATGTATTTTATTGTGTTGTAAGCCACCCCGAGGCTTCGGCAAGGGGCGGCATAGAAATGATAATAATAATAATAATAAAAATAATAATAATAATAAAAATAATAATAATGATGATGTTGTGACAACCCAGATTCAGGCTGGACATCAGGAAAAGCTTCCTCACTGTCAGAGCAATAGGACAGTGGAACCAGCTGCCTGGAGAGGTGGGGGGCTCTCCCACACTAGGAACATTCAAAGGGAAACCGGACGGCCATCTGAGTGGGATGGTGTAAACTGGTGTCCTGCAACAGCAGGAGGTTGGACTCGGTGGCCTTCATGGCCCCTTCCAACTCTACTATTCTATGATTCTATGAATGTTCAATTGTAAAATTTTTCAATATTTTTTTTAAATACCATTCTCATTACTTTCTGGACACACCTCATATACTAATGAGGATTAGTAGCCACTGCTAGCTCCCTGTTTCATGAATTTATTTGTCCACTTGCCTTTTAAAGTTGGTCAGATTGGTAGCCATCACTATATCTCGTGGATGTGAGTTCCATAGTTCACTTTCACAGATCATAGCCATTCAGTTTCATGGGATGACCTCCTTCGGGTCTAGGATGATGGCAGAGAAAGAAAAATATCTTCCTCTTCAATTTTCCATACCAAGCCTAAGTCTGTATTCATCTAGCAGCTCAACCCCTTACTTGCTTTTCTCCCAAGAGAAACTATCTCGGCTTGGCACTGGTTTAAGGAAATTCCAGTTCAAAGGCAACCTCCTCACTTTGCAGCAGGAGAAAAGAAAACCTCTGATCTGAGCACAATGACTTCTAGGTCAGCCTCTCCCACTTGACAGTTTCCAGATGTATGATATCTCCCAGCATAGTTGGACACGGCTTGATACTAATGCAAAACAACTAGAGATCAAAGGGAGCCTTCCTAGTTTTGCCGCAGTAGAAAAGACAACCTCTTCTCTGTGACCTCCTTTGACTGCTTTTTTTCCTAATAAGACGCTTTCCAAATGTGTTGGACTATATCCCCCAGAATCCCCCAGCCAGATGCGCTGGGGCACACCTCCCAGAATTCCCCAGGCAGGTATGCTACGGGGGGAATTCTGGGAAATGCCATCCAATGCAGCGTGAAGGTGAGCCAAGGAGAGGCGGCGCAGGGCAGGGGCCGCCCGTCCAGGTCCTCTCCGCCCCTTCCCAGTCATCAGACCTCCCCGCAGCCTTCTCTCTCCATGCCTGGGCTGGGCATCTCCCTCCCCGCCCGGGCTTTCCACCCCCGCACCTCTTGCGCACGGATCCCGCCAGCTTCCCGTCCTCCTCTCTCCATCCTTCTGCAACAGGGCGCACGCCGCTCACCAGCTGCCAGCCGCCCACGGCGCGCGGAGCCCGGACAAAGGCCACTCTTCCCCGGGAAGGGAAGGGAAGGGAGGGGGCGGGGCCAGGCGCGGCTGTCACTCTCCCCAAATTTTTCCCTTCCTCCTCGCCTCTCTAGGACCGAGGACTCGACGGATTTAACCCCGAGGAGCCCGTGCGGGAGCGGCCGAGCCTAGGCAGCAGCTGCGCCGGCGAGCGATGCCGTCGTGCGCGCTGGAGCCCGGCGAGCGATGGCGACGTCCGCTTGCACGCGTGGCTGCCAGATCTGCTTGTTCATTTGATTGCTTCTGGATCCACTTCACAGCGATCGAAGCTCTCGGAACGGTGTCCGATAAAACACAAAACAATATAGCAATGCCAGGTGCGGTTGCACCGGTTCTTGTCCTGATTCTGCCTACCCACACATTTGCAAACTGGGGGTCCAATGCGGCTGTCCGCCACCGCCCCGACTTCTCCTCCTGGATCGGTGGCTGCCAGCTCAGATCAGGAGCCGAGATTTTTCCGGGTGCAAGGGGACAGCCACGAAATGCTGCCCAGCCAGCCGTCGGAGAGGCTGGACTCCCAGCTTGGGGGTGCACGCCGAGCGCAGAGCCGGGACTCGGCCCCCGAAGCGCGGCACGCAGCCAGCGCGTTTCTTTGCCAAACTGCAGCCGCGAAGCGACTTCGGAGAAGCGCAGGGGGCGGGAAAGCGGGGTGGGGGGACCGAGGCTCCGTTGGGACACAGGGGATTGTGTCAGAGAGATCTGCAGCCGCATGGGTCCCTGCTGGCACCCCCTGTTGGAGACTCCAGCGCAGCCACGACTCCAGGGGAGCGGCCTTTGCAAGAGGACCCTGCATGGTGGGCCACTTGCGGTCGGCCAGACGTCCTCTCCACGCTCCGGCATCGTGGGCTGTGCTGGTGTCAGAATCCCGGAATCTCAATTTGAGAAGAGGGAATAAAACTCGGGTTCGTGGGAAAGACCAAGCGTCCAGACCATCTGAGGCTTTATTGTATTTACCCCAAGGTTCCCACGGTAGTCACGATAATGAATGCATTACCGGGCAGGCAGAGGTGAACTCTGCTGCCAAGCTTCAATACCATTGCAGGGCATTTATAGGTACAATTGATGACAGAACGCAGAGATTACAATAAAATTCTGAGGTCTTCACATGCAGAACAGATAAAGAAATGTCAGTCTGTCACACTGTAGCAATGAGATTAAAATATTTCTAATTGCCTGTATTGACACTTTAGTTCAGTAGCTTGAACCCATCTCCAGGTCTGCTTGGACATGTAAATTCAAGCCACTGAAACTGTGCATGAGCTCAAGACTCTTATCTAGACTCGAGACATTCTGAATTGGCCAGGGCACATGGAGCCTCTGGGCTAGGAAGAAACTTCCATGAATTCCAACAATGATTATTTACGACGTATATTTGGACTGAATGGCCTGTCCACTGTAGCCCACAGCTAAAGGTGAGAGAAAGGAGCGGGGGATGCCATTTTAAACAGTGACTGCTTGGTTTTGAGAAGGAAGACAGGATTTGATCCCACAATGCAAAGGCACACAGGAGTAATGCTTTTCAGACAGGATTTACCCAAATTTTCCCCACACTGGCTAGAAGGGGTGGGCTACACGTTGCCCACCCCTGCTCTGGGCAGGGCGAAGAGTCCCCTGGATCATTCCCTCCATTGACTTGGGGGGCCCTGGTTTTCTGGAAGTTGGTGATGTGGCTTTGCATGTGTTGAAACCTTCAAGCAAAGTTAGGGAGATGTTAAGACCTGGGGATGTTCTTGCCAGTAAAGCCACCATCAAGGGTGGAGGGGGCCTTCAGGGGGTCAGAGCACCCCAATTATTTTGGAGAGAGCCCTGGGGGGGGGGTCGCTGGATCCCTGAAGCCAGGGTCCCTCCCCTAACACAAAATGATGTAGCACCTGACACCTTCCCAATATTTTGGACCACCACCCCCATCAGTCCCAGCCAGCACAGCCAGTGAGGAAGGGTCTGGGCCTGAGAAGGTAAAATCATGCCTTTGGACTACAAGTACCATCAACACAGCCAGTACACCTTTGTGGCAATACTCACAAAGGCAACATAGGGCAGCACCTGATGCCCTCTAGATGCTTTGCACTACAACTCCCATCAGTCCTGCTAAGTATACCTAGTGAAGGATCTGAGTCCTCCAGACACTTTGGACTACAAATCCCATCAGCCATAGTCAGCACAGCCCATGGTTCTGTGGTGCAACCCACAGCACAGGGGATGGGGGTCTCACCAGACCACCTCAGGGGGAGAAAGACCAAGGACTTTCCTACAGAAGGTGGGGCAGGGCCTTATCCCTGCTGGCCCTGGGTTCAAGCAAGACCTGGCTCCAGCCTCCTCCCACAAGGCACCTGTGCAGCCCCCAAGCAGCAGGCTTCTCCCATCCAGGTGCCAAACCAGATGGGGCAGCCCTTTGCCACTGGAGGACCCCATCCCCTGCCCCCCCCTCCTCAGCCCCAGTTCCTTCCCCCTCTAGGAATCTGTCTCTTCTCCTTTTAACCCTTGGAAGACCAAGCCGTGAAGGGGTGGGGCCCACCAGGTGGTCTTGCGCACCTCCACTCAAAGGCAGATCTCCCACTGGGTTCAGCATTGTTATTATGACATGGACTTTACGTCCTGCCTTTTCTTCTCTTCCGCATGTTCTTCTCTGCCCAAGGCAGCTTCCAAAGCGCCATGTTATCCGCACAACATCCCTGTGAGGTAGGCCAGACGAAGAGGGAGTGACTGGCCCCTATTCACCCACTGAGCTTCATGGCCGAGTGGTGATTCGAACCCGCATCTCCTGGGTCCCCAGCCCAGCACTCTCACCACCACCACCACCCCGGCTTTCCAACAGAGCCAACAGCTTTGTTTGCGAAGATGCCAGCCCAGAAACCAGGAAGCTTGGCAGGCGAAGTGCAGAAAGTGACGCGGGGGCCAGACAGACAGACAGACAGGAGGTTACGCAGCTGGGCAGGCTGCATCTCCCCCTCCCCCCAATGCAACAGCCATTAGAGTTTGCCTGGATATATTGGCAAACCTGCACCAGTTTGGCGTAGTGGTTAAAAGCACAGGACTGGGACTCGGGCAATCCCGGTTTGACTCTCCGCTCAGCCGTGGAGGCCACTGGGTGGCTTTGGGCCCATCACAGACTCTCAACTCGGCCTACTTTACAAGACTGGTGTGGGGATAAGATGGTGAGCAGGAACAGAATGATGCAAGCCACTTCGAGTTCTTTAAAAGACAAAAAAAGGCGGGATATAAATCTAATAAATAAATAGATAAAAGAAATACATATAGTCTGCCTTTTTTCCTGCAAGGAACATAACTGGCTGATCTGGTGTCCTGTGTGTTTTCTAACTGCAACAAACTTGGCTGATTTATGCTGGATGACAGAAAAGATCTGTGGATCACAACACCCTGTTTCTAGCAGCACCAAAGCAGGCTCTTCTGAGACAAGCCACTTCTATTATTGGTGAAAAAATGTTTCCCCCAGAAGTCCATGCGCTGCAGTTTAAGCGTCCTGCAGCATTCTTGCTGTAACCTGTGTCAGAAGCTCCTTTGCAAATATTCATCCCACATACGGTATGTTGCTCTCTAGCTCATTCATAAGCGACCCCATCATAGGCTCACAATATGTCCCTAAAGCAGCATATGGAATATGCTAACAGTCTCATATTCCGTTTGAATCAGTCTAATTCTAGCACGGATGCTTGTGTTCTTATTTCCACTGATCTTTCAGTGTACTCTTGGTGAAACATGGAAAAATTAAGATGACAACCTTGTTTATCTCATGTTTTTACCCTGACTGGAAGGTCTGTGAAAGTTACAAGCTAATTCCCTCCTAAACTCGGCGAAAGCAAAATCAATGCCTCAGAAAAGCGGTTTGCAAAAGGGACAGCTGGTGAAGCCATTTTATTAGCTATGGTAAACAGTCTCTGTTCATGGATTAAATAAGCAAAGATGACATGAAATACTTCAGAAGCACAACAGCCTCATTTTCACTGCCAGGGCAAGTTGTGGCTTGATTTGATCTTGGACCCGTTTGCCTTTGTGTTGGTCGAGGGCATTTGCCAAGGTCTCCGCCAGCACCGTGTTTCAAACCACATCCATTTTCTTCCTGCCCACCTCCTTCCCTGTCCAGCTTTCACACACACACACGGTGATCAGAAATACAAGGATTCTGGATGATCTTGGGCTTGATCTCCAGGGAAACATCCTAACACTTGATCATCCGCCCTTTCCAAGTCTCTTCGGATTTCTTGGCCTGTGGTCTCCTTTCAAACTGATGACCGAGCCGAGGTACACAAAAATTTTCACCACATTAATTTCTTCATTCTATTTAGGATTTACAGTTCTATTAGTCAATTACTAATTATTTACAGAGATTGGTCCCCTGTCAACCTCTTCCTCTACAAGACATACAATTAATTTAGTAAAAACGAAAGACTTCCTATGCAAGTGTCCACTTTGCCTCTGATTGGAAGTAGAGGAGAAGATGCTCTGGCAGTGGAGAAAAATATTATTCTGGGCCACCATTGCACCCACTTAGGGGGCTTGAGAAAAAGCTTGCGCAACTATTCAGCATGCTGCAGGAATTCCTGTATTTGCTTTTTCAGATGTGTACCCGTTGGCTTCATTGCCCTCACTTACGCTATAGACCAAGGAGCTGCTGGTGCTCTATTAAATACAAGTACCGTAAAACCTTGGATTGGGAGTAACTTGGTCTGCAAGTGTTTTGCAAGATGAGTGAAGAGTTTTTCTAAATTTTAACTTGATAAACAAGCGACGTCTTGCAGTGTGAGTGTTACGTGGGCTTCGCCTGCTGAGCGTCATGTCACAACCGAGCGCCGGTTCTTCACTCTCTTGCTGCGGGGGTGAGCACAGCATCGTCTCCCCCTCCCGAACACACCATCACACCTGCCTCCCCCCCCAAGGGTGCCCATGATCGTGCCCACTCCCCCCGCAGTGCACCCATGATCACACCTGTCTCCCCCCCCCCAAGTGCACCCACTTCAAATTTTTGTGATTAAAAAAAAAAAAAACTTACAGAACGGATTAACCTTATTTACATTGAACCTTATGAGGAAATTTGCTTTGATATACAAGTGCTTTGAATTACAAGCATGTTTCCAGAACGAATTATGCTCACAATCCAAGGTTTTACTGTATCCGCCCAGTAGCAATTGTGTCAACTGCTCAGCTCATTCCACAAATTAAGCAGGGCTTTGGACCAGCCATACTAGGTCAAAACTTCTCCAAACCATAATTTAGACAACTGTGCCATGCAAACATTAAAGAGTTAGCCATACAGAAGCTCTTTTCGCATTCTAAACTCCTACTCCATTTTTCCTTGTGTGAATTTTTTGATGTTCGATAAGAGAATGTTTCCCAAAGTAACTCTTTCCACAGTCTGAACATTTAAAAGGTTTCTCCCCTGTGTGGATTCTTTGGTGTTCCACAAGGTGTGAACTCCGATTGAAGCTCTTTCCACACTCCAAACATTTAAATGGTTTCTCCCCTGTGTGGATTATTTGATGAGAAGTGAGGTATCTCCCAAAACGAAAAGTCTTTCCACACTCCAAGCACTGAAATGGTTTCCCCCCCGTGTGAATTCTTTGGTGAGCCCTCAGCTGTGAGTTCTGACTAAAGTTTTTCCCACACTCCCGGCAATTAAAAGTTTTTTCTCCTGTGTGGATTTTTTGATGGGAAGTGAAGTATCTCTCAACAGGGAAAGTCTTTCCACACTCAAAGCATTTAAATGGTCTCTCTCCTGTGTGGATTCTTTGATGTGCCATAAGTTGTGAACTCTGAGTGAAACACTTACCACACTCCAAGCAATTAAAAGGTTTCTCCCCTGTGTGAATTCTCTGGTGTGCCATAAGTTGTGAGCTCTGACCAAAGCTTTTTTCACACTCCGAACATTTAAAAGGTTTCTCCCCTGTGTGGATTCTCTGGTGCGCCATGAGATGTGAGCTCCGGCTGAAGCTTTTTCCACACTCCAAGCACTGAAAAGGTTTTTCCCCGGTGTGGATTCTTTGGTGTGTTATAAGCAGGGAGTTCCATCGAAAGCTCTTTCCACACTCCAAACATTTATATGGTTTTTCTGCTGAGTGGATTCTTTGGTGTGACAGAAGGTTTGAGCTCTGAATAAAGCTCTTTCCACACTGCAAACATTTAAATGGTTTCTCCCTTGTAGGGGTTACATGATCAGGAGTGAAATGTGTTGTCCCAAGGAAAGTCTGTTCGCACTTCAAGCATTTAAATGGCTTCTCTCCCATGTGAGCACAGTGATATAAAGTAAGTGACTCAGCCCAACAGAAGCTCTTTCCGCACTTCAAACTAGTGAGTGGTTTCTCCACTGGGTGTATTCTTTGATGAGAAGTGGGATGTTTCTTAATCCTGAAGAACTTTTGACAATCATAGCATTTGAGAGATGTGTCTCCTGGGTGAGTCCTCATAAGAAGATTAAAGTTGGATGGATCACTGACTTGTTTCCCACACACAAGGCACTGAATTCTTGCTTCTCCTTCATGTGTAATTTCTTGGACTGGGATTTCACAGACGACAACATTTCCCAGTGAAGCACAAATTCCATCCTGCTTTTCCTCTTTAGCATCAGCTGATGCGTGCTGCTCTTCAACCTTTCTACATTGGGCTGTTTCTAACAACATCCTGCATGGATCGCCTTCATCTTTCCTGCCCCGCTGATCGTCATCTGGAAAGAAGGAGGACAACAGGTAAGAACCCCCAGAAGAAGTGGGATACGAAGGCAAAGGTCTAACACTATTAGAGACCGATTCTGTTGCCCTTAGATTTCTCCAAGGGGCCAAATAATATTAAGGATGCCGCTCGCTGAGATGGGAGGCTGTGCTCGGATCTCAGAAGGGTGAGTGGGAGACCCAACCTGCTCCCCCAGCCTCTTCCTGCTAGTGCAGAAAGAGCGGTGCTGCCTGCCCTCCAAGGTTGGGCAAACAACCTGGGGATGATGGTGGTTGTGGGAATGGGATGCTCAGGCGAGTGAAGAGTGCAAGAGGCCAAAGAGACATGAGTGTCCTAGTTCCTTCCCCTCTGAAGTTTTTGTCCTGAGCTGGGCTTCCTCCTGGTGCACATTTCAAGCCACAGACCTTCCTTGCAAAAGGTTCTTTCTTGAGCAAAGTGTTTTCCAGAAGTACAAACACCCAGAATGGATCTCTGAGCATGCATGGAGTAGTTTGTTGAGCCCAATCAAGTGTTCACCCTCAGGAACTCTCCTTGTGAGCATGCCTGGGCCCCATCCCTTCAGGAGGGGCGTACTGAAAGCGAGCATGCCTCCTTTTCCTGTGCCAGTCCTCTAATTGGGCCACCTTCCTCTGCTGAGGATGCCTCAGGGGGGCAAGAGCCAAGGCCACCTTGCTTGTGTCTGGGAAACTCCCCTGCTCCAAGTCCCCTCCCTCCAGCTGTACGTCTTGGTTATTCTCAGAGGCCACCCACCCACCTGGGAGTCTGCCCTTGAGATAAGTGTCTCCACTTCTCCAATCTCATTCCCTGGCCTCCTCCCACACCTCTCTGAGTCTGAGTCTGATGGATTCCGAGTCTGAATCTGATGGAGTCTGAGTCTGATGGAGTCTGAGTCTGAGTCTGAGGGATTCTGAGTCTGAGGGAGTCTGAGTCTGAGTCTGATTGATTCTGAGTCAGTCTGAGTCTGATTCTGAGTCTTTCTGGAGCCCATCCAGCAGCTCCAGAGAACGCACCTCTCAATAGTTCCATTGCTAGACAGGTAATAAAGCTTGTGTAATGGCAACTTCAGGGAGGAAGAAAAGCAAGGCAAAGACCATTCTCATGCTGGACTGGAGGCCTGGGCACCTCCGAGTTAACTCTCTCCTGGCTCCAGCGATTTCATCGGGCAACCGCAGAGGGAGAGGCGCGATTACACATTCGCTGGCATGGCTCTGCCAAGAGACCAGCTCTTCCATGAATGCTTGTAGGTAGAAGAACTCTTACCCAGGACCCCCTGCATGATTCTTTTGCAGAATTCCTCTCTTTTCTCAGCTGGGAAGGCATCAGGGTTTCTTTCCACTTCTGGCTCAGATGAGTTTTGCTCTTCCATTTCCAATCCGCGTTCCATGGCAGCTGCAAACAGGGCTGAAAACAAAAGAAGAGCCAGGATGAATGAGTCCAAAGACCCATGAAGGCTAGTATCGTCTTCACAAAGTGGCCAACTAGACGCCCCAATAGGAAACCAACGGGGAGGAGAGGAGCACAGCTGCACCCCACCACTCATGTCCCCCCAAAACTGGCATACAGAATAGTTTTGCCCCGATAACAGAACGGAGTTCAGTATTTCGTTATGCAAGCAGGCATTTTTTGACTGAAAAATGTGGCAGTGGAAAATTTTCCACCACACATCATGGCCTCCCACTTTTATGAAGCTTTTTAAAAATCTGGATGTTTATGTTATCCATCCTAAGATCTGTTATTCTGGCAGGAAGTAAATAAATTAAGAAGCACCTCTCAGCTCAACATTAACTGGGAAGCCTTGACTCATTATTTATATATTTATTTATTATTTATTAAAAGCTTTTATATGCCGTCCTATTATATAAAAATCTCAGGATGGCTTACAATGTTTAAAAGAACAATTAAAACTACAACAATTTCTAATAAATAAATTGAAATAGAATAATATATAAGACAAAACAGTAAATCACAAAACAAAACGAGAGCGACTTAACGTTAAAAGTTGTTGATTTTAAAATACAGTTCAAATAAAAAGGTTTTGAGCTGGCGCCGAAAAGAGTATAAGCTTGGCACCAGGCATACCTCTCTGGAAAGTGCATTCCAAAGTCTGAGTGCCACCGCAGAGAAGGCCCTACCCTGAATTGATAACCTTTTTACCTCTCCTAGAGAGGGTTTCCAGACCAAGGCTTCTCCCGCAGATCTTGAGGGATGTATGAGGGCGTACAAGCAAGGAGACACATTTTATAAATACTTACTAGTTTGTTAACGGATTCTCAAAGATTGTTAACAGATTCTCATTAACTTACCCAGAGAAGCCAGATTCCTGAGGTTTTCGTCCATGACTTCCCCGTGCAGGGCTCTCTGGCCTGCATCCAACACTGCCCATTCCTGGTCAGAGAAATACACCGCCACGTCCTCAAAGGTCACCAGGCCCTGTAAGGAGAAGGAGCAAATGCCTTATCTTTTAAACTTTTAGATAAGAAGGGAGGCACAATGGAGAGCTATAAAATTGAGCCTGGTACGGAGATGATGGAGGGAAAAACTCCCTGGAGAAGACCATCCTGCTAGGGAAAGTTCCAGGTAGAAGGAAAGGAAAGGAGGACCAGCTAGGAGATGGAGTGACTCCCTCAATCCGGTACGGATTGGTGGTTAGGAGCCAGGGAGAGCCAGTGCGGTATAATGGATAAAAGCGCAGGACTAGGGCTCAGGCGATCCGGGTGCTAGTCCCTGCCCGGCCTCGGTGCCAGCTGGGAGACTTTGGGCCCCTCGCAGACGCCCAGCTCAGCCAACCTCACAGGGTTGTTGTTGTGGGGATAAGACTGGGAGCAGGAGGGGGAGAATGAGGCGAGCCACTGTGTGTTCTTGGTAAGACAAGAGGTGGGACATAAATCTAATAAATAAATAAGGGCAGCCGCAGACCCGTGTTTGCAAGAGCTGGGCATGGCCGTCAAGGACGGGACATTTTGGAGCAGCAAAGAGAACCCAGCCAGGGGCTTGGTCGAACCCCCTCCTTGTCTGAACATCTGGCTCAGAGCTGCGGGTGATGCTGACCGTCCCTTCCCGCTGTTAGGAGCTGTGCTGCTTGATTATCAATCAAGAACGTGCTAGCTTTGGAAGTCGATTCAGTTCATCCATAAAGAAACCTGAGCTGACGTAACATTTTCCAGGGATTTCAAAAACCTTCCGGCCCACTGCAACTATAGGCCTGAACCCTGGAGAAATTAATGGAAGCTTGTAAGATTATTATTATTATTATTAGGGCTCAATTTGGATACCAGGACGTACCTCCTGACCATTAGGACCCCGAGGGAGGTGGTTGAAGCCCCATCAATGAGGGTGTTCAAGGGTAGGCTGGACATGCACATGGTGGGCATGTCAGGAGTGGAGCCAGCTAGAGCTGGGGGTCAGACTAGATGGCTCGGGAGACCCCTTCTGACTTGCTCTGTTTTCTATGTTTCTATTATCAAGGGATAGTGGACACAAATGCTGACGACGCCTTTGAAGCCTCCGCTGTGGGAGGAGGTAGGCACGAGTCTCTTGCCCTACTTCTGGGCTCCCCAGCAGCAGCATCTGGTGGGGAAAAGGGTGCCAGCCAAAATGCGCCTTATAAAAGTCGCTTATGAAGGTCGTAAACTGGGACAGGATGCAGGCGATCCAGCAGCCACTCCACTTCATAATCTGAAAGTGTCGTCAAATCAAATGCTTCGGGGGATTTCCTAGAGGGATGCTAAAACTCTGAATATGGCTTCCTGGCATTTCCAGAGAATCCTTTAATTAACGCAAATGGGGGGAAAGAAATCCTTTAGGGCCAGGCCTTCTCCTGCCCCCCTGCCTGCATCCCCGCCCCCCAAGATCCCTTCCCTACCTGATCGGGCTGCACCACAGAGGTCTCTGCTCCAGCGCATGCCGGAGGCCATTGCGAATGGACCCCTGATGTCATTCCATTCCCTGTGAGGGGCACAAAGACGATGGGAGAATCTCCCTTACGCAAAGGCTTTTAAAAGACAAATAAATAGATAAAGGCTTTAAGTTTCAGTTCCTGTTGTGAACAAGAGCCCAAAATATTTCCCCATGCTGGCTCTGGAAGCAGAATTCCAAACGGACTAGCTTAGCTCTTCCACCCAGCCAGAAAATGGTCACTCGGTGCCCCTTTGAGAATTCTGTTGCGACAACGGAACCGAATCGGAGGGAGGGAACGAGACGAAGGGCCTTGAGCTCCCCGGAGAGGCTCGCCTCGTGCCCTCTTGATATGCTTCTCAGCCTTTTTATTTTGCAGGTATCTTAACTGTTAAGCTGTTTTAATTCTATTTTAACAGTGCGGGTTACCTTTTATGAAATCACCAATTCTGTTGTTGGGACGTGTTTTTACTGCTTTACTGTTTTATTGTAACTTGCTCTTTTGTGTTTTTATGCTGTTTTATATGGTGTTCAGCTTGTGAACTACAACAATTCCAGATCCTTCTCACTTGCAGTATTGGTGAGCCAAGTATTCCCCGTCTTGTAACAGTGCGGTTGGTTTCTTTCTTCTAGATCCAGAACCTGGCATTTCTCCCTATCAGATTTCATTCCATTGTTTCCAGAACGCTTTGATAAAGGAAGAGAATTTTCAGCATTCGCACATATACAGCGTTTGTGTGCCTAACGACAGTGACACATGTACAGGTAACCTCCTGGTTGGACTATTGTAACGTGCTCTACGTGGGGCTGCCCTTGAAGACGGTCTGGATACGTCAGATGGTGCAAAACAGAGCTGCCACGATGCTGTCAGGGACCGGTCATTGTTCTCATATAACGCCAGTCCTCCATCAGCTCCATTGGCTTCCCATTGAAGTCCGGGCCCAATTTAAGGTGCTGGTTATTACCTATAAAGCCCTAAATGGCTTGAGATCAGGATACCTAAAGGGACGTCTTTTTCTCTACATGCCCTCCCTCCCCTTAAGATCTGCAGCAGAGGCCCTGCTCCGGGCACCCTCCTTGAAGGAGATTGGGAGACAGACTACCCGGAGGAGGGCCTTCTCTGTGGTGGCGCCCCGGCTATGGGATGCGCTCCCCAGAGAGGTCCGCCTGGCGCCGTCATTATTTGCTTTTTGGCACCTTTTCATTTACCCAATCATTTAATGTTTAATAGATTTTAATTATTTTTATTTCAGTCATGGGTTATTTAGTTTTATTATTGTTGGGGTATTTATAACAAGACGTTGATATTTATATTTGTACTGTTGTATTTATTGATTTTGTCACGAGCCGTCCAGAGACTCAGTGTGATTGGACGGCCTAAAAATACCCCAGATAAATAAATAAATATACAGAGTTCAGCTCTTCCACTGAAGCGATCAAGCTATGAGCCTGGCCATCCAAACATGCCCACTGGAAATGTGCAAGCATTTCTTATTCAGCAGTTCTACGGGACTTGCTCCCTCTTCAGTGCATCTCTAGAAACAGTCTCTCTTACAGCCAAACGCTCTTAGGCAGTTCCTCCTAAGGATCACCCCAAATCCCTCCTGCAAAGTTTCACCCGCTGCTTCTAGTCCTTTCCCCTGGAGCGACAGGAGCCAGTCTCGCGCCCTCTTCTGTGTGTCCGACAGCCCTTCTGCTATCTATGACACCGCTCCTTAAACTTCTCTTCTCCAGACTTCGACTAGAACAGAAGGAAACATTCGATGGCTAACTGAGCTTTATACAGTCTGATGGCTGCAAACCTATTATGTTGTTAGGATGGCCACAGAGTAAATTACAGTGATACCTCGGCTCACGAACGCCTCAGCCCACGACCCAATCGGGTCGCGAGCAAAAATTTCACAAAAATTGCGACTCGAGTTGCGGACACCGCATTGGGTGGCGACTGCGATCACGGCCGTCTCCCCCTCCCCGCTGCGCAGGGAGGTGGCCAGGATCGTGCTGGGGGCGGGGGGGAGATGGCTGAGATCGCACCCATCTTTCCTGCAGGAGCACAGCCGTGATCTTGGCCAACTCCCCCACCAGCAAGATTGCACCTCTCCCCCCGCCGCCAGCATGCCAGGATGATGGGCCTGTGCAGGGATGATGGACGCGACTGCGGTCGTGCTGGGGGGGGCGGGGAGATGGCCGCGATCTTTGTTGCTCTTTGTCACTTTGCTTCACGTTTTTCTGATTAAAAAAAAATAGTTACAGAATGGATTGCTCTTACTTACATTGAATCTTATGGGGACATTTAACTTGGCTCACGACCAATTTGGGTCACGACCAGAGTCCTGGAATGGATTAAGTTCGTGAGCCAAGGTACCACTGCATTTCCAGAGGGATAGCTCTGTTAGTCTGTTGCAGCAAAACGAACCAAGCAAAAAGCCATCTCAAAGAGTGTCGCAGCACCTTAAAACTAACACATGTATTCCAGCAGAAGCACGTGTTCCTGAATGCCTGATGCTGCCTTATCTTGGAAGCTAAGCAGAGTCAGGTCGGGTTGGAATCTGGATGGGAGACTTAAGCCTTGCATGGAGCTGGGGGCTGGACGGGAAGGCCTGCTAGGCCCCTTCCATCTGTTCCTCTCAGGATGTGTTTTCCAGCCCATGGATCTTCCTTAAGTATTCTACCATCTGCCTGAGCACTTCCAGAGAAGGAATACCCCTAAATAGTAGCAGTGATTCTTACCCAGGAAAGTGGCCGCTTGGTCAAACTCCTCCAGGAGCCACCGGAAGAGCGATCCTTGCCTGGTGGCTGGTGGAGCTTTTGCTGTCTTGTCATAGGGGTGCCGGAAGGTCTTCTGACCCTGGGCCGAATCCTGCGTCGAAGAAACTCCCCGTGGCTTCATTCTGGCAGAAGGTGGAGCAGCAGATAAAAGTAGGCTGGGCTGAAAAAAATAATTCGAAACAAACTCCCAGTTTTACAAATGTAGGCTAGAAAGCAGGTCTGCTCAAAAGCAAGGGCTCAATAGCAGTTTCAGATAACATGCCAGAAATCAAGCCTCTTCAGGTCTACTCAGAAGCAGCTGTTGGGAAAATTCAGATAAATCCTGGCAGAGAAACGTTGCTTATATGTGCCTTTGTGTTATAAAATCAAAGCTGCACCCCTTTCTCAGAAGGCACCAGAATTCCAAGCCAGGTCACTGTTTAGTGCTGAGGCTGTCCTAAGAAGATGGCATTCTTAGGAAGACTTAGAAGCTGCTGGAGGCTGATACTATGAGTGAGGAAATACCTGTGTTCTCATCAGCTGCAGAAAAATGGTGTCCCTTTGTTTCTGAATGGACCCACCTAAGCATCTAGTCCCACAGAGGCAAGCGCCTGCACACGGCAGCTGCCAAACCAGATTTCCTGAATGGTTCCTCCATCAGACACATCTGCATGTTTAAACAGGATCCAAACTGCAAAGAGGTCTACTCAATGGATAGGTGAATAAAGCTATCAGTAATGTTTTCCATACTATTGTTACCAGCATTTCTGACTGGTTTAGAGCATTATGTCACGGCTAAAGGCATCAGGATGCTATTGTACTAAGATTATCTGGAAACTTAACCCTCTGCATTGGTGTATGTAACCAGCAGGTTATAAAAGTGTCTGTACATGGGCTGAGATTTTGTAGTTGAGTTTGCCTCTGCCTAGTCATATATTATCATTAGTGACTGCAGGTACTGGGCCACCGATCAATCAAGCAGCAGAGGTTCAAAGGTTTGATCTTTCCCATGGACCCAAGTGTTCATTTCCTCACAGACTGAAAACTGAGATTCTGTCACAGCACGAGGTTCGCAGGTGAGGCTCAGAAGAAAGCAGGACTAATTCACTCCGCATCTCCTGCCCAAGAAAAAGTTTCTTCTCCAATAAGCAGCTGATGGGAGAGAAGAGCTTTATCTTGCGCAGAATTGATCAATGGAGCCTATTCACTGTAAAAGAAAGGATATCTTTTTCCATGCTACTCAAAAGTATCTGCTGATTTCATCTAATTTTGTTGATTATATTCCTGGATCTCCCAACATCTGGTGGTTAGAAGGATTAAAACACCTGAGAGTCCATGTGGTATAGTGGTTAGGACCGCTGGGCTGGGGGATCTGGGTTCGAGTCCCCACTCAGCCATGGAGCTAACCAGGTGTCTTTGGGCGAATCAGACTCTCAGCTCAGCCTACCTCACAGGGTTGTTGTTGTGAGGCTATGATGGAGAGGAGGAGGAGGAGAACTAGCTAAGCTGCCTTGAGTTCCTTGAAAGGGAGAAAGGGCAGGCTATAAGTATAAAGAATAAATAAATGCAAAACCTCAAAAATAAAATAGGCTAATATACAAACAGTTTGCAAAAATATAAACTATTTAAAAATCAGCACTATATCCTTGGACCCAAGTAACATGTTAATTCAAGGCCTGAAAACAGGAGGACACTTTAGCCTGGCAGCAAAAAGTTGACCGTGCTTCTTATCATGGGTTCTGGGGTATCAGGGCATGTCTTTCTGTTGGGAAGAAACTGCTGGACTGGATCAAGAACCCCCACGGCTGTCTAAGGGTGCACAGGATGAAGGTTTCATGTTCATGGGGATCAGGGGCTGCTTTTGCTAACAGTCCCACACTTGAAACAGAAATTGGAACGGGTCCTAAGCGGGGAACAGGTGGGAAGGGTGGGAGCAACGTTCTTGAAATGCCTTTATCAAGGGGACGTCAAAATAAAGGGCAAATAATAGGGACTGAAGAGATTCCTATTCACATTATTATTTTATTATTATTCATATTATTATTATTCATGTTATTATTATTCATGTTATTATTATTCATGTTATTATTATTATACATTCTAGTCCCTGCTCTGCCATAGAGCCAAGTGGGTGCTTGGCCTACCTCACAGGGTGGTTGTTGTTGTGGGGATAATCCTGAGAGCAGGAGGAGGCAAATGATGTTCTTTTTTTTTTTAAGGGCAGGATATAAATCTAACAACTAATTAGACAACCCCTTAAAGCTATCTAGGTGACTTGTTTCTGTTTCTTACCTGCTGCTTTTCCTGCTTCTTCTCCTCTACCTGGCTCAGGAGGAAGCCTTCGGCCAGGGCCACCGCCTGGGAGCTGGTCTCCGGCCCACATCCCCTCACCCAGCTCTGCATCTCCGGGGGAAGGACAGCCAGGAATTGCTCTAAGATCACCAAGTCCAGGATCTGAGTTTTCGTGTGTTGCTCTGGCTTCAGCCACTGAATACAGAGGTGGTGGAGCCGGTTGCGAACTTCTCGGGGCCCCTCGGCATCTCGGTACTGGAAATGTCTGAAGTGCTGGCACTCGGTATCCAAGCGGAGGGCGTCCTCCTCGCCCAGGATCTCCTGGATGGTCCTTTCCCAGAATTCACCCCCACCCTCAGCCAGGAAGGCATCAGGGTCTCTTCCATCCTCCGGACCCACAGAATCTGGCTCTTCCATTTTCGAGCCATGCTCCAAAGCAGCCCCCATCAAAGGTCCCCGTCCTGCTTCTTCCCCTTTCTTTCTTTTCTTCTTAAGACAAAGCGTTCCCAGATCAGCAGGCCGTCTACATTTTGGAAAACCAAGCGCTTCTGCTTGGAAAATATTCACACCCTGAAAGCAGCATGGGATTCCGTAAGTGGGGGATTCCAGCTAGTGCCTAGGTCTTCATCCTGAAAGAAAGCGGGGCAAACATGTTGTAAGCCGCCCCGAGGCTTCGGCGAATGGGGAGGCATAAAAATGTTTTAATAACTAAATAAAATAAATAAACATCACAACCTGGTAGGCACAGTCGCCGCGGTACTTGTGTCTGTCTAAACATGCCAAGAATTAAGTCCTCGGAAAAGTCTCCGAATCTATATTATGAACCAAACAGCTACTTTTCCCCTTATCCCACAATATTTATTTATTTATTTCATACTTTTCTAGGCCATTCCTTACTGAAGTCTCGGGACAGTTTAACAATGCAACAATGTAAAAGAAAACACAGCATCCTAGAAAATTCAACTGACAATAAAAACCCAGTTAAAACAGTCAGGTCTTAAAACATTGGGAAAATAAAAAGGTTTTAGCCCTTCTCCGGGTAGTCACCCTCCTAATCTCCTTCAGGCAGGGCACCCAGAGAAGAGCATCTGACCCAGATTTTAAGGGGCGGGCAGGCACATATGGAAGGAGACGCTCCTTCAGGTAACCAGGTAAAGACAGTGGTACCTTGGCTCACGAACTTAATCTGTTTCAGGATTCTGGTTGTGACCCAAATTGATTGTGAGGCAAGTCAAACTTCCCCATAAGGTTCAGTGTAAATAAGGTTAATCTGTAACTTTTTTTTTTTTTAATCACAAAAATTTGAAGCGGGCACGCTGGAGGGGGAAGGAGATGGGCACGATCGCGGGTGCGCTGGGGAGGAGGCAGGTGCAATCACAGGTGTGCTGGGGGGGGTCAATTTTTTTCCGATTTGGTCATGAACTGAGGCATCCGTGAGCTGAGGTACCACTGTATTACAATTCTTCCTGAAACTGGTGCCTTCCAGACGTGCTCCACATTTCAGCCCGTTATTCCAAGCCATGATAGCCAATGCCTGGGAATCGCTGGTCAACACATCTGGAAATCCACAGGGCAAGAAGTGGTGAATTATAAGGTAAAGATCCAGTGGGGTGTAGTGGTTAAGAGCATGGGACTGGGACTCAGACGATCCGGGTTCTCGTCCCTGCTCAGCCATGCAGCCAACTGGGTGACTTTGGGCCAGTCACAGACTCTCAGCCCAACCTACCTCACAGGGTTGTTGTTGTGGGGATAAGATGGAGGAGGAGAATGATGTAAGCTGCCTTGAGCCCTTTGTAGGAAAAAGGCAGGATAAACATTGAAAAAATAATAAATAAATAAATAAATAAAGGTCGAGGTTTCCCCTTGACGTTAAGTCCAGCCATGCCTGACTCTAGGGGACGATGCTCATCTCCGTTTCCTGGCCGAGGGAGCCAGCGTTTGTCTGCTGAGTTTCCGTGGTCAAGTGGCCGGCATGACTAAACACCGCAGTGCGTGGAGCGCTGTTACCTGCCCACCAAAGTGGTACCTTTTCATCTACCTGCCCTTGCATGCTTTGCAAGGTGGGCAGGAGCCGGACGGAGCAACGGGAACTCACCCCGTTGTGCAGACTCGAACTGGCGACCTTTCGATCAAGCAGCCCAGCAGCTCAGCGGTTTGAACCCCTGCGCCACCCATGGATCCAAATCAGGAGCACCTGCTGTACATGCTGTGCTGGCCTAAAACCTTTATTTGTCAAGAAACCTCAGTTTTTCAGACAGGACATCTCGCAGGGCCTTCATTCAAAGGGTCACCACGAGCCAGAGAAAACCTAACAATAACAGGGAGTCTGGACTATGGGGCAGTCTAGAAATATGACCCATACACAGTGCTTTTTCTGCCATAGAATGCACCGGAACAGAGTTCCGGCACCTTTTTTCGACAGATTTTCCAAGTTTTAAAAATAACTTTTGAAAATTTGATGTTTGCTCAACGTGGATTTGAATCGCCCTGTCGAGCGTAGCAGGTCGGCGGCAAAATCATTAAAACTGTGCATGTGGGCTGCTTGTGTGTCGAATTCAATGCATGCGTACTTCACACTGGTTGTGATGGTGCTGCTCAGCTTGTGATCGGTCGTGTGGTCGCACGACCGTTATGTTTCGTTACACAACTGACATGTGTGGGTGTGTGTACCGTGATTGACTACATGCGAAAGGTAGAGACCAGAGAGCCAGTGTGGTGTAGCGGTGAAGAGCGTGGGACTGGGACTCAGGGGATCCGGGTTCGAGTCCCCGCTCAGCCATGGAGCCAACTGGGTGAGTTTGGGCCAGTCACAGACTCTCAGCCCAATCTACCTCACAGGGTTGTTGTTGTTGTGGGGATAAGATGGAGGAGGAGAATGATGTAAGCTGCCTTGAGCCCTTTGTAGAGAAAAGGCAGGATATAAATCGGAAAATAAATAAATAAATATTTTCATGAGCTCCGGCACCTTTTTTCTTACACAAAAAGCCCTGCCCATACATCCATAAATAACCACTGGCAAAACAACAGATCACAGAACTGGGCGTGTGCGAGAGATCTCCGCAGCTCTTAATTGTGCAATAAATAGTTCAGGCCACGCAGGAGGGGAGCAAGAGGAAGTGGAAAAGAAGCCGTGAAGTCACCGGATGCCGGAGCCCCAGGAAGATCGGGAGGGGAGCAGGGAGAGAGCGGGGGATCAGCAAACGCCCCAGTGTGGTGTAGTGGTTAAGAGCGTGGGACTGGGACTCAGGGGATCCGGGTTCGAGTCCCCGCTCGGCCATGGAGCCAACTGGGAGACTTTGGGCCAGTCACAGCCTCTCAGCCCAACCTACCTCACAGGGTTGTTGTTGTGGGGATAAAATGGAGGAGGAGAATGATGTAAGCTGCCTTGAGCCCTTTGTAGGAAAAAGGCAGGATATAAATGGAAAAATAAAAATAAAATAAATTCATCCCAGGCCCCACAGCTCATGTCGGTTGCAGGTCCGGGCTGGAGCTGCCCAGGGAACGGAGCGGAACAAGAGAAGGGAAGCTGTCGGCTCCCCAGGTGGGAGCAGCAAGCCCAGCTGTTCCCAGCTGTTTTCCTCCTTGAGCAAAGCGGAGGCGGCTCCAGCTTCGGGGGGGGGGGGGGCTCCTTGGGCAAGGCAGCTGTGGCCGCCCGCTCGGCTCCTGCTCATCATTAAAACGCTTTAATAAAATAAAAATAAAATAAAATAAATCATGCCCCCTTGTTTGACGGGCAGAGGGGACGCGATGGGGCGGCAGCTCTGCGCCAGCCTTACCTGAGGGCCCCAGCTAAAGGAATCTGTTGCACGCAGTGCGGGGGGGGGGACACCCCGCTCCCCACATCGGGTCCCGCCTCCTCTTCCTCCCTGCAAGGCCTCCTCTTCCTCCCTGCGAGGCCTCCTCTGCCAGCTCTTCCCGTCTCCAGCACTCACCGGATTCCAGCCAGGCGAGCCAAATGCTGGGTCCCGAGCAAAAGACAAAGGGTTTCTTTTCCAGGAAAGGGAGAGGAGAGGAGGGGGAGGAGAGGAGAGGAGGGGCGGGAAGCATCAGTCACTCCCCCTAACGAGTTTCTTCCTCTTTGCTCTCTAGGAGGCCAGAGAGACTCTCTGGCCTTAACCCTGAGAAGGTTGTCTTCAGCCAAGGATGCTTCTAGGTGAAGCGGCCATCTATCCGTAGCATTTCCAACCTCTTCTGAGTGGAAAATGCAGTGGGGGTGACACAGATCTGTCATTCGACTTCCTTCGCTGGGACTTACAATCTAGAAAAATGACACGACATACAAGGAAAGGCGATTGGGAGGGAGGAGGAAAAAGACAGCACTGTAGTGATGGCTTGAAAGATACCTGTTGTGCGTGGAGCTGGTGGCGCTCAGGTTTGTATGGGATCTGTTATTCTTCTAGGCTGGCCTCAGCCAGCTCTGTAAGAAAATAAAGAAGCGTAAGAGGAACTCAGCTTCATTGGCCCAGGGGCCCATCAGTCCAGCTGTCCATCTGCACTGCATTGCCGATCAACCAAGAAACATTACGCACCAGCTACGACTTCCTTCCTTAACAGATTTTCTGTGCATGCATCCCAATTTAATTTTAATTAATTTAATTTAAATAAAACATTTATATGCTGTCCTTTGCAACAGCCTCAGGACAGCTTACAGAAGATAAAAATGACAATAAAAATAACAGTATAGTAATATAAATATCATTAAAAACATTCTACAATAAAACAAATCAACAACAATATCTCATTTCATAACTAGAGAAAAGAAGGAGGAAAAAGGAAATAAAAGAAAATGAAGATGCAACTATATACAATTAATGATATTATTAAAATTAGTAATATTAATTATTTAAATGATGGGTAAACAAAAAGGCTTTCGATCTGTAATTGCCCTACTCTGCCCAAAAAATTTTGCAGGCATCTGGAGAGAGGCAGGTGCTTCCAGAAGGAAAATTGTCCGCCTGAAAATTTATGCTTGACTGGGGACTGGAACCCAGGTCGTCGGTACGGCACTCTCTCTGCCATGCCATGCTTGTGGGAGGGGGGCTTATTATGGGCTGGCTTCACATTATTCACAGGATTTTAGAAGGGGGGTGCCTTCCATGAGTACCCAGCAGGGACTGGTAGCATTCATCCATTCCAGATTTTATATCTGCTCCAGTTTTTACCTTAAAGTTTTAAAGGAGTTATCCGTGATGCCAAGCCGGTGTGGGCTTCAGTTCAGCTCCATGAAGAGCACCTTTAAAATTCTGAAATCCAGAATAGCCCATAGCTCCGCTAACTGCAGAACCACCGGCCACGTCCCTTCCCCCTGCCCACCTCCTTCCATCTTGTCTCAAGATACAATCTTGTAAGGAACTTTAAAAAAAATGTCCAGAGATGTACTTTTGTTGTGGCTTGGGTTATTTTATTATTGTTTGGGGTCAGCCCATCACTTTATGGATTTAATCCACCCCTCTAAATTGGCTGGTATTTCCATCACCCCTCCCTGCCCTGTATGGGAGAATTTGGAGAGCGAGTATCCCAATGTCGTCTTCTTTTGACCCTAATTTGTACTAATTTTGCTAAATCCTTTAAGTGAGACATCCACAATGTGGAATCCATGTACACCCCCAGTAATACCTCTCTCGATCTACAAGCCACACTTCTGGCTACACAACCAAGGGTGGCGTTTGCCCTCTTGACCACCGCAGCACACTGCTGGCTCATGTTTGGCCTGCAGTCAACCAGCACCCCAAGGTCCCTTTCACAAGTGCTGCTCCCCAGCCACTTGTCCCCTAACCTGTACTTATGACAGCTATTCCTATGCCCCAAGTGCAAGACCTTGCACTTACCCACACTGAACGCCATCCTGTTGTCTCCTGCCCACTTCCATAGTCTGTCCAGATCC